CCAATTCATATTTAAGATCAAATATTTCAACAGAAAATCACTGACTTCTGTTTGTGTTATGGGGCTCATTAGATTAGAGACAATTCGATAACCATATTGGGGATCTCGTATGCAAGGAGTACTCTGGCTCGATTTTTCTATCCATATTGAGGCCAGTGAAACTGGAGTAAGAAATATTGATCAACATGTTACTGTTTCTACCGTGTATATTGCCTCTTAGAGCGGTATGCTAAAGTCTTTTTAGTAGTTTGAAGAGGTTGACTGTTTTTTACAAATGTGTCCCATAGTTGTTTTTTGGTTCTCGAAGCTCTGCTTCTAATGATCCTACCTACACCTGTTGACTTACGTGCATACAATTTCCTGCTATATTTGCACACATCCATCGCCTCGCCATTTATCTCTTATCGACCAATTTTTTGGACTTACGAGCTATTTTCCAGGAGTAATCTGACTTGAATTGCATATTTCGTTTAATGTTTAAATTGTGCATATCTAATTCTAACTCTATGTATTGTTGATACTATTCCGATAATCAAGAGATCTCATCTATATTCGGATTCTATGTACAGCGGCCATTCCATATCATTTTTGTCATTTTTTTGTTTCATATTTACCTCTAAGTTCATCATTCCCGATACAAATCAACTCCAATAACCTATCACACCTCTCCTCTATATAACTCCTTAATGATTTTACCCCCGATCACAGTTTCATCAATAATCCCGGCCACCTTCTCCGGAAAGACCCGTCCGTACCAAATGGACTTCTTCGTCTTATCCAGAGGAAAGTAAATAACATTACCAGCATATGCATGTCCTCCAATATGTGATACAATTCCAACATCCACATCGAGACGTCTTTCCTTGAGTGTTTTATTGAACTGTTCAACTAATATGGGTGCAATCTTACCGCATCTAATATCCCTCTGGGTGTGACCACACACAAGAATTAGATCTTTCTTAATATCCTGTTCTTTGAAATCTATATTCTTCTTCTCTCGAGTTATTGCTTCCGTCTTCTTGAATGGATTGTACACGGACTCATGCTGTGCCATCTCTTCCTCCAGAGGTACTAGATACGTATGCATGAAATCTTTCGTATCCTTGATATCAAACTCTATCATCTTATTGTCTGGATATAGATACACCATCTCCTTAGTCCCTGGTGTCATATTTGGCAATATTGCGTTCGAAATCATTATAGGATGAAACGGAGATACAACCTTTCGCTTTAATAAATCCATCTCGTTAGTCAAAGAATTCGGTAACAACTCAAGCTTTGATGGCCACTCGTCGGCACTTTTGAAACCATGGGATAAGATCAATAAATGTTTCCATGGAATAACGCTGGTTCCATTTAGATTTTTATCAAAATCAATAGGTTTGTCTTTTGGCAATTCCCTAAGTATATTACATTCACACCCTATTTCAATCGGACATTTCTCCACGAACTTACTAAAATACCTCCTGGCAATATTCATTCTCTGGACTCTTACTTATACATGCACCCTTTCTTCCTTTATTAGACTATATGTTGTTTTATAACTTCGAAGAGTCTTCAAATATCGGTCGGGCCGATACCCGACCTAAATAAATAAATTTTTATATAATACATTAACTATCATTAACTATTGGCTGAGAAATCCACCTTCAAAACCCATCCTTTACGGGATGAGTCCCAAACAGCAATTTCTCTTAACATTGATCGAATCAAGATCATATCCTTTTCATCATTTAATTCCAATTTTAAATTACTCAAGATATTGTTAGAGGTGCTAAATTGATCAGTTTGCTGCGCGAGGAAACTAATCAACTTGTCGAGGGTTTCTTCTCTATCGAGCTTCTTGTCACTTTTAGTTGATTTTTTAGTAAACACAGTATCAGTTTTGTCTTTCTTCTGCTTTAATTCACTTAAAATCGATGTCGATGATAATAATTTCGATGATTTATTGTTCGATGACAGGTTTATTCGTTTATTAGTCTTGGGGCCGAACTTACCTGCTAACCCAAACTTACCTGTCCACGTAGGAGTTCCGATATTATTCTTTCTTGTGAGCTTTCGTGACTGCTTTAATGCTTCTGCCGCTTCTGCTGCAACCCTGTTCGCCTCTTTTTCGATAATTGAAACCTCTTGCTTTGACGAATCCATAATGTCATCATGCTTCAATGCACTATGAACTCCACTATTTGCAAATAATCCTTCCATTATCCTATTTTCGTCTTTATTTCCATCCTGCTCACCATCTTTCTCTTGGGTGTCACCTTCAAAGTTGTCGAGTTTTGAAACCCCACTAATGCTTGCAACCTGATAAAAGTCATCATCATTCTTATGCTTAGGCTTGAATAGTTTATTAGACTTCCTGTCTTTATTTCCATTAAATTTGGTTTCAGAACCATTAAATAAATCACCCGTTTCTGTACCTACTTCATCTTGATCTCCCAACGAAAATAAGTCATGTAAATCATTAACCTTGAAAAATCTTCTCTGCTTAGGATCTTTTAATATTTTGTTAGTCAAAAACGTCTTGAATATTTGTCTATGATAGATTTTCTCTTCAATTGACCCAGCAGTCATTAGTCTATAAATTGTTATATCTTTCGTTTGCCCCAATCTCCATGCTCTCTCTCTCGCTTGAATATCTGTTGATGGATTCCAGTCAGGATCGTAAATTATAACTCTATCAGCACCAGTTAAATTAATACCTAATCCTCCAACTTTGGTTGTCAATAAAAACACATGATATTGCTTATCCTCATTGAATGTGTCAACTAGTGCCTGTCTCTTTCCAATATGGGTTGATCCGTCCATTCTCAAATAATTAAACGCTCCCCGTACTTCTTCACCCTTTTCGTTTATCGATGGTAAGTTTGTGACAAATTTTTCTAATATATCTAGCATCTGTTTAGTTTGGCAGAACAACAAGGTCCTATGACCCTGCATTTGCCATAATTGTAGTAAATTTTTAAGTACTTGTAACTTACCTGATTTAGCTGGATTACCGTAGTTGTAATTCTTCCTACGCATTAAAATATCTCTGTCAACTAAATCAGGGTGGTTACAAATTTTGCGTAGAATATCAACACCCATCAAAATATTTCTTTTACCTTTTAATATAGCATGCAAATCTTCACTGTTAAGAAATTTCTCATAAAGGTCTTGTTGATATTGTGTTAATTTAACAAACAAAACCATTTCATTTTTTTTGGGTAGATCCTGAGCTACATCACTCTTTAATCTTCTCAAGAGATAAGGAGATATTAAATCTCTAAGAATAACAGCGCACTTATAACCAGTCTGAACTTGAACATTAGATGCATTCGCATAACCACCCATATTAATAGGTACAGAAAATTGCTGTTCAAACACTGGTAGAGTTCCTAATCTTCCTGGAAATATGAAGTCAAACAAGGACCATAATTCAATAAGATTATTCTGTATCGGTGTTCCAGATAAAATAATTCTGTTATACGTTTTGATCTGCTTACACGTTAAAGATATATCCAGATCTGGATTTCTTATCTTATGACCTTCATCCAAGACCACATATCCCCATTCTCGAGGCAAAATATATTTAGAATATATTCTCAAACCAACGTAGGTTGTTACCAAAACATGGCCTTTCTCCATTACTGTATCTATAATTTCCTTTGCACGAATTTGACTATTAATGCCTTTAAATGAATCATTCCTAACTGAGGTGGGGTCAGTAGTTTCTAAAAACGCTTCAATTTTTTCTTCAGATTGAACTGCATTTTTACCCATACCTGAGCCGATGCTATGTAGAATAACACAACGCAACGGTGGCCACCATCTGTGAAATTCATTAACCCATTGGTTCATGACAGTTGCAGGTACTACAACCAAAACAGGTTTTTCCAACAACCCAGAATAATGCAATCCAGCTAGAAATGAAATAATCTGAATCGTTTTACCCAAACCCATTTCGTCACCTATAATCCCACCAGTTTTCTGTGAATATAATTCCCAAAGCCATTGAACGCAAGTCTTTTGATAATCAAACAAGGAAGGATATATATCACCGGGTAATTTAAACTTCGAGTTAAGTACTGCATCAGGTATTGTTGGATGAGGTTTGAACCATTCTTCCTTATCATTAGTTGTTACGTCTCCTTTGCGAAGTTCAGATCTTCTTTTTACCCAATTTTTGAGCCGTATTTGATACAATTGTTCGTCTCCATCATCCACATTACGTTGCTCGTTCGCTTCTATCAGGTCGTCTTTTTGAGTACTATAAATATCGTAATCGTCATCGATTACGTTATCATTATCAGTAAATTCCTCTTCCAGAGCATCTTTAATATCCTCAACTGGGGAAAAATCACTCTCGCTTTCTGAGCCTTCCATTTCCAGATGTTTCCTTTTATTAATTTCAGACACTGGTGTAGCATTTTCAGTTGAGCTATAGGTGAAATCTTCATCATCTTTGCTAGTAAAACTTACATCTTCGAATCCTGGGGCTCTTAAAAATACATGACTCTTGGCATCATCCGAATCTTTCGTCTTATCCTGATGAAATGCGTTTTCATTCCCGAATGCCGTTATTTTACCTGTTCGTATAAGAAAATCCCTTTCAGATTCTCCAGGCAACTTTTCATTGATAGACTGAGTTGATTTCTTTTGATTACCTTGAGTTTTAGATTCATTTAGTTGCATTTTATTTTCGTTCAATCTGTTCGTTATATCAACTATATCTTGCTTTAGAGGTTCCATCTCATTTTTTTCAATCCATTCACATTCATCCTTAAGCAGCTTGCGTTGTGAAATCTTAGTTCTCAGATTAGATAGTTTGTTCCTTAGTATTCTTAATTTAGATATGACTTTATTATAATCATTATTAGCTTTATCTAGCCTCTTCTGATCTAACTCTGTATCTTTGTTGATCAAAGCTTCATTGGCCCTCTTAGTTATATCATGCTCTAACTCATCCTGGTCAACAAACTTAACCCCTAATTGATCTAGTGGGTTCTCTTTCCCTTCCATTGCTCTTTATAATATTCTACTGTCTGTTAAAGAGATAAGAGAAGAGATGATGTACAAAAAAAATTGTCGCATTATGTGAATTATCTACTCTATTAATAATGCTACTTAAGCTCTATTAAATACTTGCTTCTGTAATTCTTCTAATGATTCCTTATACATGGATTCATCGTTTCCTTCAATTAATTGTTTGGTATCGATTTCAAGATCTTCTATGTTTTGGCTTCTTCCTACTTGAGCCATTAGCTTCTTAAACCACTTGGCTTCACCTTTACCAAAACAGAAATTATATGCAAATCCATCCTGATTAGCTCTTGCCGTACGACCAACCCTGTGAACATATTCACGAGAAGAATTAGGCAAGTCATAATTTATGACATCCGTGATTGATAGTATATCGATACCACGAGCTATCAAATCAGTCGCAACCAAAATATTAACACTTTGCTTAGAAAAATCTTTCAATATTTTGGAACGGATAGATGTAGTGTTATTAGTTGAATTAATGTATGCAATATTTATGGTTTCCGATGTCAATTTATTCATTATTAGTGATAATAACCTAGAGAGCCTTAACGAGGCGTCATTAGATTTGGTAAAAATTAAGACATTCGAAAGCTTATTTCTTGAAAGTAAAAACTTAGATAAAATTAATGGTTTCAAAGAAGACTTTGCCGATCCAAAATGTAATCTGAACTCATTTAATGTTGCAGGGACACTGAACATCTCATTAACCAATTGTTCTTTATTATTAACAATAATTAATCTTGGTTTGTGAAATTTCAATAATGATAATTTTCCTGCGTCAGTAGTTAAAGTAGCTGAAAATATCATTTTTTGTACGTTTAGCTTCCAATAATTGGATATAGTTCTTTCTTTAATGTTTGTGAACTCGTCTATTTTAGAAATCAAAATTTGACACCAGTTTTGGAAGGATTGATTAAGCAAACGATCAGCCTCATCAATAACCAAAAATTGGAGGTTCTTTAAAGTGATATAACCATTAGTTAAATGATCTACTAATCTACCTGGAGTAGAAACAATGATATCTGGTTCGTTGGCTTGCAACTTCATACCTTCGTCTTTAATGGACAAATCATTCTTTAAACTTACAATTGATAAGTTAGTACCCTTAGAAAGTTGATTCAACGTAGTCTTCACTTGGTTTATTAATGGTTTTGTAGGAACTAATATGAGGGCCCTTACTCTTGGAACTTTTACAGTTTGTAAACTTTCTATTATTGGAATCAGATATGCTAAAGTCTTACCAGACCCAGTTGATGCATTGACTAACAAATCACCTCTCATATCTGGCTGTAATCTATTTTTCTCAATATCCTTAAGAATTAAATTCAAGACTGATATTTGGACAGAAAATGCAGATTCAAATCCCATATTTCTCAAATTTTTTATCATCAATGGTGATAAGGGGGGATCATTGAAGTCGGCGAATGGTTTTGTTTCTTCTGGAGTTGCATATATTGGAGTGGTTAACCAATCCAAATTGTTTAAATGTGCAGAGGTCGAGACTAATCTTTTATCTCTAGGCAATGCAGGTTGTGGTAATGGTGCTAAATCTTGAGTCTGAATGTCTTCCATATTGTCATCGCTTTCTTCATCGACATCTTCACCTTTTCCATCTTGTATTGACTTGAATTTTTGAAAAACTGAATGATGTTTTGATATATAATCAGGATCATTTTCTACAGGCACCTCTGGAGTACCTTTGTCCTCAACAATATCCATTTTATCGTTTTCCGCTTGCTCATTATTTAAATGGGCTTTATTTTGAGTTTCTTCTAGTTCTTCAGCAGCTTCCTCAGTATCAGAACTTATTGCAGCATCGCTATCTGAACCACTTTCCCTGGAGCTCTGGGACTCAGACCCAGACTCAGAATCAGAATCAGAATCAGAACTAGAATCAGAATCAGAGTCAGAACTAGAATCAGAATCAGATTCAGAATCAGAACTAGAACTAGAGTCAGAATCAGAACTCGAAGACGAACTCGATTCTTCATCTTCACTTATTGATGCATTACTTAATTTTCTCTTTTTCGAGCCCAGAATTTCATCTTTCACACTTGGAGTATTTACGCCCACCAATGCAGTCGGGTCAAACCTGGGAGCAAACATACTAATGGTTTGAAGTATATGTATAGATTTGCAAAATTATTTAGTACTCATCTCTCCATAAATTTTTATGAAATCACGCGCACATAACATACGTTGGAAAATTTCACTAGGACTTATTGAATTAGAGGTTGAATCATCAATATCAACAAACATATTTTATTATGAAGCCATCATTACACATATTGAAAGGTAGATCATCATGGAAGGGCCCACATGTTGTTCCATTACCAATAGCTAATGCTATTAAGACAGGGGTTCCTATTAGAACAAACGCAAGAAGTTGTACTATTTTACCACAATTTGTTGGATTAAAATTTCAAATACATAACGGAAAAGAATATGCCGAAGTTGAAATAACCGATGATATGGTTGGAAGTAAGTTAGGAGAATTTGCTGCTACTAGAAAGAGATTCACATACAAATTCTCGAAGAATTAAAGAAGTCCACACACAGGTAGCACCAAAAAAAAAGAGAAGTAAGTTTTGTTGTCCATGAACATGTACATGACTTACTGAATAAGAGTAGACAAATATGTCTTTCGTTCACTGGCATGGATACGCCCTTGTAAATACAATTAATAAATAAGATTTTTATTTAAATACTGTCTAGATAATGTTCTAATAAGTATCACCCCCTTTCACCTCTAGGGCTGTAATCTTTCATTCTTTCTTGCCTTAATTGACCAGTTCTATCTAAGATTGGCCATGAACCCCATCCATTTAATCTGATCACTAAACATGTAGCATTATCGTCACCACCGACATATTCTACAAATTTGATCACTTCTTCAGCACATAGCTGTGGTGAAGCTTTAGGGTGTCCTTTCATGTTGTAGTTGACCATGATGATATCCCCAATTTCTTGGTCAGTTAAGACGTCAGTTACACCGTCGGTGCATAATACTAAGAAGCTTTCATCACCTCCTAATGCACCAACCGTATAATTCTTAATTTCTTCAGGGGTTAGCTTTTTCTTTATAGCCGCATTATCACCAACAATTAGCTGAATCACATCCGGCTCAGCTGTGACTCCCATTTCCTTATAAGATATGTCTCCAAACGCCCTAGTATTGGCCAATGCTATAAATCTTTCCTCCCCGAACGAATCCGTCATGAAGAAGTTAGCAGCATACTTCCTTAATCGTTTGGACTCTGTTGGATTAGATGGGTGGTGCGATTGAGTTAATGCATGTGCTTCTCCGTTTTTATCAACAAGTATAGCTCGCGTATCGCCAACCTGGGCAATCGTAAGCTTAGATATCGTGTTTCTATTAAAATAATACTTTTCAAAAGATGAGTCTAAATCGGTTGATTCCGAGTGAATAGTCTCTAAAAATGCTGAAGTACATGTGGAGCCCGATTTATCTTCGTCTTTGAAGAATTTGTAATCTGCTTCTAAAAACGACAAGGGCAATCTCAAGCTTAAATCATCTTTAGTATCTTTAATGTTATTCAATTTTATAATATTATTCTCAGGCATCATCATCTCAAAGTTGGCATCTTTATGCTTATACCATCTTTTCCAGTAGCCACCAACATTTTTCCAATATGACTTTGCGAGGTTGTCTCTCATCGTTGAATTATCTTCTTGACTAAGTTCATTAGCTTTTTCAATCTCCTGTGACAAATTATCTTTTAAATACGTTGCACATTGATCTCCTCCATGTCCATCAAATATATTGAAATTGAATACCGTCTTATCATTTGGTAATTCCAAAACATTGGCACTGTATTTATCTTCATTATACAATCGATTAACCCGTGAAGTGAAATGCCCAAAATAGGATGGACTCTTTAACAATGGTACCCTAAGCTTTCCCAACTTATGTGCCATATTCGAAGATCTTGGATACTTTGATGATTTGTCAATTGCCGTGAATGCTATTACACCCGATACGAATCTTTTATTGCTTTTAGTACATTGATTTAAATTGTATAACGGATGTGGAAATTTCTTTGGGGTTAGGATCATAGATATAATCTAGGTTATTTATTCAATTTCCTGAGCATAAAATATAAGCAATTAACTCTAGAAACGTATAAATCATATATAAACAGTGCCGATGTATATGAGACTATAGAGCCGTGTTCCTCGCAAGGGGAGCCAAAAAATAGTAGTGCGGTTTAATGAGCCGAACCAATTCTATTGTATTTTATACACTATATATAGAGAGTATAACAATACATAAGCTAAAGTAAAATGTTATCAGAATCTTCTGGATCATCCCTGTATTCCCTTCTAGTATTTTGATTGAAAGTTGTAGCTACATTGGATCTAATACCATTGATAACGCCGCCAAGTTTACCCCATAATTTACTGTTCAGAATCCCAGAGCTATTTAAATCGTTTCTATTATCAGTAACATCGTCACTATACGATGAATCAACTCTTTGGTCTGTAGATTCCATCAAAGAATTGTTGAATTGTAACCTGTTGCTCTCATAATTTAAGTTTGCAGCATTCGTCAAATTAAATGGTCTTAAAGTTTCAGGTCGGGATGAACGCTGTTGTGATAATTTAAGCATCTCCCTGTTAATTATACGCTTAGCTTCAACAATAATTAGATCTTTGCGCTTATTATTGAGATTTTCAACGTCACTTCTGTTTTCTCCGTTCTCATCGTCGTCATCAAAGAGGGCCCACGAGTCGTACAAATCAGATGTAAGACCTATTTTTTTCTTCAATTTGTCGTAAACATTGAAAACAGTTAACAATACAGGAATCAACACAAATCTAGGTATCCAATTATTCATGGAGTTAAACAAACCAGTTAAATGTATTGACTTTCCAAACCATGTTTCAAAGATTGAGTTACGGGACACGAATAGTGTTATAAAATTGTATGACAACGGAATAGTCAATCTTGCAATATAAGTTGTGTAGAAACATGCTGATACTGGGTCTGAATTATGAGGGACCAAGTGATACATATTGAAAATTTTCAAACGTGTTAACGAATTCAAGGATGCGAAAAGCATGTATGAGAATGTAATACAACAGACGATCAACTGGAGCAAATTATGATTATTGATACCTGTTGAATAGATCAATATATTCATCAATGAAATTGGAGTCGAATGGAAGAATTCAGATTCAAGTATTATGAAGGATGAAATGAATAAAATAATGGATAACAATCTATTAAGAACTGGTCTCATATAATATTCCAAAATAAACTTATTATTAGCCAGTAATAGTGTGAGATGATTATCAATTCTATAAACTAAGCGACTTCTTTGCTGTAAGTCGTCATTTGTACTGCAATTTAATACATCTTCTAAAGAAACAATCTTTTTCAATAATGAATTGAATTCGGCTTCGTATGAATTTAATTTATTCAAATTCAGATTAAAATTAGCAGTCAACTTAGTCATAAAATGGGTTGTTACTTGATCTCTGTTGATAGTGTTACTTTCACCATGCGTATACTGTTGTTCCATGAATTCCTTTATATCAAGAGGAATCTTATAATATAGCTGTAATATCCAATCCCTAAAACGGAAATCTTCACCTGAAGCACTGGTGAAGTTTTTTGCCAAAACTAGCACTTGTAAAACGTCTTCTTTGAATGTGATTTTAATATCTTCTAAATTATCTACTAATTTAGGAACCTTGAGGTAATGATGGTTTAAGTCCTGCAACAAATTTCCACTAATCCATTTGTTCCTTGGAATGCTGATCAACCCGTGAGCCATAAGCCATAAAGCCAATACTAACGAGTAAATATGCGAAATTGCAATAATCATCAACTTTAAGTGACTGAGCGACAATCCTACTTCCAATATTAAATAAATTAGCCCTGCAGTTGAGACCCCTAATATAATTAACTGAAACTTAATGTTCCTCTTAACTGCATCCTTAAATCTACTCAACTTATTGAAATGTCCCGATCTGAAAAACTCCTGCAACAATGGTAGAATCAACCACGTCAACAAGAAGGTGGTCCAATAATTAAATTTCCACAAGTACAATATAACCTTATCAGGTAAATCGAACCATATTATTGACAGTGGCGAATTATGCGCTACGTAGTCAATAGGCAATAAAAATGTAATCGATAATGGTATGAAAACTGCTAATGTAAATGGAATGACAAGATAAGCTGGGTATTTAAATATAGATATATGAAATTGTATACCAGTCAATGTCAATGCCAATGCAAATATATAGCATAGAAGTGGAAGAAACCACATACTAGTATATTATATCTTATACTCTAGTAATAATAACTGACTTATCAAAGTCCAGTATAAACATAGCATTAATTTTTTGTCGCATGGATAACCTCAATTTATCCGGACTTGAGACTAAATTAATATTATTGATCAATTATCCACCAATTTGTTAGAATTGAAAGTCCTATCAAACATGGCTAAGGGAAAGAAACAGAAATCTAAATCAAATTCTGATTCAGAATCAAACTTAATGAAAGATATGTCGGAAGCAATGCCTGAACAAACAGAAGCCGTAGGTCAATCAGATGAATCGAGACCAGAAGACGAAGATTCATCAGCTAAGAATCCTAATGTGGTAGAAGAATCTTCAAAAGAGCTGATAGATAACTCTGATGTTTTTGAGCAGAAAGAAGGAGAACCAACGTCAATTAAGTCAGAGTCGACATCAGAGGAACCAAAAGTTGCGGCAACTGCGGGAGATGAACTGAAATCGAGTATCACTAAAGATTCTGAATCAGATGAATTTAAGACTAAAGGAACAAAATCAAACACGAGTCCATCAAGTGCCATTGAAACTAAAGATGTTAATGAAGATAGTCAGAGCGAAAGATCAGAAATACCAGTAGAAAAGAAGGAAACTAAGTCAACTAAGAAGAAATCCGTAGGGTTTGCACCACCACCCGAAGAAGACTTGAAAGAACACCACGAAGACTTAAAAAAGAAAGAAGAGCAGAAACGAAAGTCTAACCCATTTCAAAGAATGCCGCCAGAATTGTCATATTTGCAAAAGAAGCCAGAACCTCCTAAGCCATTGAATGCATTCACACCACATCCTTCGACACCAAGAAGAGGCGTGCTGAAAGAATTGGGAGATTTAAGAAATATGCCAATCAAAGAAATCTCACTACAAAACAAAGAAACAGAATTAAATTTCAATTATCCTACAATCCATTTGCCAATTCAATCGCATCATATACTAGTAGATGTCAAATTTGGCTCATTAAACTCTTTTGACCTAGCCAAGATTAATAATTATATTTTGAACTTGAGCAATACTAAGGTCGGTCTTGGATATGAATTCTCTGGAAAAGTAATAGAAGTCGGTGCAGGCTATCAATCAGAATTTGCAGTTGGAGACAATGTCTTTGGATGTATCAATTCTATAGATAGAAAAGGTGCATTATCATCAAGCTTGATAGTTAATCCAACAAAGGATGTACTTATTTCTGTCGATGATAACGTATTAGAAAAGGTAGAAAATCTTAACATTGAACTCTCATTCAGGAATGTAACCGAAGATGGAAACTTTGAAATTAATTCAACGTCATCATCGTCGCTCAATTCAGACGTTGAGGGTACCAAAGAGCCTACAAATTTACGTAATAAACTTGGGGACCTCACTATTGATGAACAACTACCACCACTTGCTAAATTATCGACATTCTCAGTCTTATACTGTAGAGCCAAACAGGCACTTGATCATTCAAATGCCGTATTTGAAAAGACTGGTAAAGCAAATATTTTAATCAATGGTGCTGATACAAATATGGGCTTCACAATCATTCAATTATTAAATTCTTCGGTATATTCTACAATTTTGAATGAAATGAATCTCATTTTAACTATCAAAGAAAGCAGTTTCGATAAAATGACTAAGTTAGTGAACTATTTCACAAAAGGCAAGTACTTTGATCCTTCAAGAAAAAAGAGAATTCACTTAGTGACGTTTGATATGGAGAATGAAGACTTAATATTGCCGGGTGAGAAAGTACCATTAAATTATAAGAAACCAGATTTATTTGCATCGGATGTATTAAATGCCTTATTTGGGGACTCCGAGGAAAGCATAAATAAAAATAATGTGGTAAATCACAAGTTGGATTTGATTATTGATATAGTTGGTAGCAAGAAATATTTGCAGACACTGTCTATAAGATACAGTAAACTTGAAACGTTATCCTTGCCATATTTATCGAAATTCTCTGCGGATACTACATTGTCTCAGGTATTAAATTCTCGTACTAAGGAACCATTTATACTGAAGATCTTAAAGCCTAAATCTTACAATTCATGTTTTGTGTCTTGTTGTAAGTTCAATCTTTCGTTTCCAAGCTATAACATTGATGAATTGTTTGATTATTCCGGTAGCAACATATCGCTAAATCCATGGTCGATGAAATGGTCGAGCAATCTTGCAAATTCTCTTAGCAGCTACTACTACTTTGAAGAGCTCTCTTTACGGGTAAAGAAAGCGTGGATATTAGAAGGATTGAATTTGCTTCTTGAGGATGAGCTTAAGTTTAGAATTGATGATTTCATCGATTGGAGAAATAACTTCAAAAAATATATAAAATTATTAAAAAAAGATGATGGAAAAGTCGTCTTCAAGATTGAAGACTTCTAATCTACGTAATGAATGCTTATGTTCTATAGTATCTATGCTAGTGTCAATATTTTTTGTATATACGGATTGTAATGTTTCTTTGGGTTATGAAGCCCTTGTAGATTTGAGAATATCTTGATAAATAAAGGATTTGATGATCTATTGATAACCTTTTTCATAATCATTATAGTTGTCGTCATAAAAGTATTGTATGTATCCCCGGTTACATTATGTCATCTGATTCTATGAGTGTTCATTCACTCATTGATAAATTTTCTAATACAGAAAATGTTTCAAATGAAAGGGCAGGTGTGGGAACAAGGAGAAGAGGGTCAGAGCTACATCAGAAATCGCAAAAGCAACAAAGACAAGCAGACACAATAAAAGAAGAGACTGAACAAGTAAATGCAAATACCATAGATGAAACAGGACTCTTGACATTGTTGGGACCAAATGTGAAAACATTCCCTTTCTCTGAGGAGGCATATATTGAATCGGTCAAACTTAGGGCGGAACAGGAGAAAACAAAACAAAGCTACTATAAGTTGGAAACTGCAAATAAAAATTTGCTTATGCTAAACACTGCTTTAAAGGCAAATATACCTGCTCACTTAATTCCTTTAATGTACGTACCTAATGAAGACGCTGGCGCAAAGTCTAACATAGATTCGGGACTTACGCCTGGCTCCAAACTGGAATCTTCATCCATAATAGCTAGCCCTTTCCAACAAGGTAACAGGACGGGAATGAAGAACATATATAAACCAGATGCTTCCAATTCCAGTCTAGTGCCACCCATTAACTATAAATTTGGAGGTAGCAATACCCCCAATACCACACGGAGACCACTTTCTCCCGCAAAGATTGGTGCTGCTGCAGTCGCAAATTTGGCTACCCCAACAAACCCTTATAGAAATACCAGAAGAAATATTCTTCCACAGCATCAGAGACATTTTTCCATGCCTGCTTCAACTTCTTTGGTTACTCCTAATAGACATAGAGCGACCCCTAGTGATTTAAATGCCATTGATACCACTATACAGAACCCAAATAAACTCAAAGCTCCAAGTAATGCAACTTTAAATGCTCCAGGTAGCACTTCTGATTCAAGTATCCTTCGATCTCCATTGGGTGCAACATCTTCAATTCAAGTCAAGCCTTCACCAGCGCAACCCTTACATAAACTGACTAAACTGGCTAACCAACCCTCACAGGAGTCCATGACATCGTTTCAACACATAATACAATTTCACCATTGGAAACCAGATGGCCCAAATGTAGGTGCTTCATCTGGTGGAAGTCCTATCAGGACGCATAAGAGACATAAGTCATCATCGGAGAATATGTCGATAGATTTAACTGCTAATTCGTTTTCTAATTCCAATAATAATCCTCCAGAAATACGTGTGCATAATTCGAATGATATCGATATAAATTCTAATGATGATCAAGAGGTAGATGACGATGAAGATGATGATGACGAAAATGATAACGACATTGACGATGATGATGATAATGACATTACAATGGAGACAAGTACCATTACGGATATAAACGTATCAAAAATTCCACGAACTGGATCTTTTAGCGATTCAAACAACGATACTCAGCTGAATATAGGAAGATACCCACATGATATTCTATCACCATCAAATTCCTAAATTATTGCATTTCACATTCCAATAGCATTGCATTTTAAACGTACGTTACAAAATTTCTTGTAACTCACTACAAGATAATAAATTGTCTGTCTTCCTTATTATTTATTTCTGTTTTGATGTAGCCTTATTCTATGGGCAGGCTACACCATGTTTCCTATAAGTGTGCCATTTTGACTATAGATCTATATATAACAAGCAATATTTCTCATGTACTTAGTTTTCTTTTTTTGTCTGACTAGCATATATGAAAAGAATGCAATTAAATAGTTTCCAGAAACTGATTTAAACAGAAACACAAATTATTCATTCTGAGTAGATAGCTTTATGATTTCTATTGGACAATAATATGTATAAAATATCGATAGATGTTACTAGAAATTATTAACAAGGCTTTAATACTAGTATATATTATTGGTTTTGATACAGACTAAACAGCTCTTCTGCCATTATTTCAACCTCTTGTATGTTTAATGCAACCATCTCATCATCGTCATCTTCATTCATATCGCTATTGCCATCGGCTTTCTCTAATTTTTCGAACGTTATCTCTGTTTTAGGCAATGACATGTACTCCTTTTTCAAATCATGAGCCAAATTTCTAATCATACCTTCCGTAACTTGATCACTAATAATCCAAGAGCATAAATCTTCTAACCATATCTTATCATAGACGTAATAAACGTCATGATAGCGAAATAATTCCTTCAAGTCTAGTAAGGACTTCAATATCAATCGCTTTCCTCCTCTCAAGTTATAGTATACATCGTCCCATACTTTCGATACTAATTTATAATTTCTATGTAACGGGAATGATAAGGCTCTTCTTATACTGGTTATCACTGTAGATTTTAAAAAGTTTTCTTTGTTTTGCTCACCAGGTATTGCGATTTGTGAATCAAGACATGCAAATTGAGGAGTCAATTTACCAATTGTCCATGCACTTTCAATTGTATGGTCACCTACAGTCTCCCGTAAGTCAAAGTGATATGCAAATAATAAAGATACCAAAAGTGCCAACAACTGAGGTTTATAAACATCACTAATCAAATAGGTTTTTCTAGGTAGGTTTAACATCTTTTCTTGCTCATCTTTGTTAAATTCTACGTGCATTATTTGCTCCTTATGTTCTTCAGGAAGTTCTTTTTGAACTTTGTACCATTTCATGACTTTTTTGGTCACCGGGGACTTCCATTCGATCAAGTCTGCAAACATTTTGTCATCGTCAGGACTAGGAAACTTCTCCATTATATAATCGGCAGCATAGTACTCTGGGTCAAATTTAATATTTTCTTTAATTAATCTTTCGATAATCCTATCACTGGCAGGAGTTGCTTCAGGATCCCCAAGCTCGTTGATATCATTTCCATTAGCAATTGATACACCAATTACAGATTCATACTCATTATTAAATCCATATTTAACCTTGGTAAGGTTAATATGAGAGTTTTCGTCATTTTGCTCTTCTGGCATTGTCTGAGCGACTTCCCAATTGAATTGTTCACCCTCCGCAATATCTTTCTCTAAATTACCTGGATTTGATGATAAATCATTGTTAACATCAAGCTCCTGAATTAAGGGTTTAGTTATTGTATTTTTTGAGGTCTGATTTGCACCTCCCTCGACTTCTCCGATCTCTTTCAAAACGGCCTCGTCTTGAGTTCCATTAGTTGACCTAGCAAGCAATTTGGAACTTAAATCTAAATCCGGGAAGAACTCCCCCTTGTTAAGTTTAGGAATCTTGATTTTAACACATTCGCTTTTAGAATCAAATTGGGCATGCGACCTTTCATCATCAATACAAGGAAATGGTAATCTGATTCTCAAATAATATGGACTTAATGAAAATATGAATAATTCATTGTCAACTATCATCTCAATATTTTGACTACTGAATCGAATGTGGGAAATTTTCACATCAATGAATATAAACTCATCATCCTGGTTTATAGTAAAGAATGGTGTAATCATACTTAAACGTAATAATTGTAGAACATCAACAAAACGTCTTACGATTTCCTTCTATAATACAATATTTTGATATGTAAGTGCGCCGCACGATGTTCTTTTTTTTTTCTGATTTAGTTAGATTCTAGTTACTAAACGGACACTTTAGCATATATAATCATCAAATAATGGAGCCTAAACCAGAAGAGTTGGAGAAGAAGAAAGTTGTGAGAAGGAAGTTTATTGGGAAAAGAACATCCGCCAAAGGGGATGAGACATCGTTGGTGAAATCAGCTAATAAAACGAGACATGTAGGAAGAGTAATGAACCAAATACCAGAAGAAATATTGAATGATAAAGATTTGAATGAAGCTATAAGGTTATTACCTTCTAACTATAACTTTGAAATTCATAAAACTGTTTGGAATATTAAAAAAAATGGTGCTAAACGGGTTGCATTACAGATGCCTGAAGGTTTATTGATATACTCGCTAATCATTTCGGACATTTTGGAACAATTTTGTGAAGTTGAGACTGTAGTAATGGGAGATGTATCTTACGGAGCTTGTTGTATTGACGACTTTACAGCTAGGGCATTAGATTGTGATTTTATTGTCCACTACGCACATTCATGCTTAGTTCCAATAGATATAACAGATATTAAAGTATTGTATGTTTTCGTAACTATCAACATTGATGAGCAACATTTGATCAATACTATTAAATTGAATTTTGAAAAAGGATCTCAGCTAGCAGTATTTGGAACAATTCAATTCAATCCAACAATTCATAGTATCAAGAGCAAGCTTGAAAATGATGAAGAAAAGACAATGTACTTAATACCCCCACAGACTATGCCATTATCTAAGGGTGAAGTTCTCGGATGCACTTCTGCAAGATTAAATAAGGAACAGATAAAGGCAATGATATATATAGGAGATGGAAGATTCCATCTTGAAAGTTCAATGATTCACAATCCGGATATTCCAGCCTACCGATATGATCCATATTCAAGAAAGTTTACTAAAGAATATTATGATCAAAAGCAAATGCTTGAAGTGCGTGAGGATGCCGTGAAAATTGCATCAAATGCCAAAAAAATTGGTTTGATTTTAGGGGCTCTAGGTAGACAAGGTAATCCTGTCACCTTAAATAATTTAGAAGCAAAATTATCAGCAAAGGGCATACAAGTAGTAAAAATAATTCTAAGTGAGATATTTCCTCAAAAATTATCAATGTTCAACGATATTGATGCATTCGTTCAAGTTGCATGTCCAAGATTATCTATTGATTGGGGTTATGCGTTTAACAAACCCTTGTTGACCCCATATGAAGCAATGGTTATGCTTGAGAGCGATACAAAATGGAATCAAGGTTACTATCCTATGGATTATTATTCTAAAGAAGGATACGGTAGAGGAAAAATTCCTGATCATTCAAGTGTTAATTAAGTGTATATTAATATTTATTTAGCATTTTATTCAAAATTCATCGAATTTTTGGCCAGTTGATATGGCTCTTCCATACCCAATAACGTAGCAACCTCAATGTCGGACCAGATCAACAGTACATCATCTAAATATTCATTTATTATCAAATTGAATTTCAAATAGAATTTAATAAACTCAAGCGAAGAGTTTGTTATAATGTTGTTGACAATCATAGGCGAGTTTACTTTGAATAAAGACTGTTGTATATCGATTAATGCAGAGGGTAAAAAGGTTTGAATAATATCATTGGTTCCCATTATCTTATCTTTAGTGAATAATTTATTTTCAGTGATGGGTTGATAAATTGAAACATCAAAAAAGTCATCAGAGAATGGGCATATCATATTAATGATATTGTAAAAATCAGTTAGTTGGCAGCCATTTATCAAACTATCCAATTGCAAGTTTGTTAATTCTAATGATAATTTTTCGGTTAAATCATTTAATTCTAATATCTTATCTGATAATAGTATTATGGGCATGATCTTAGAAAGAATTAAATCTAAAAAATTTAACTTCAAGACAACTTGATCTCTTCTATTAAACATCTTGGAAATATTGTTTTCAATATGTCCATTGAAAATCTCGATGGGTTGATTTATGATCATGTTCATGAATTCTGCATTATCTTCTGTCAGCAAATTCATAAATGTATCTGAAGTATTCTGATCAATGATAGGTAAAATATCAGAATAAAATTCAATAATCCATTCTGGTGGCTGTAAATCTGAATTTAATTCTAGCTGTGCCAGGTTACTTGACTTTATGGTTGTCAATTTGTTTTGAATAATAGTTGTAATTTTATTCTGTGAAGATTTGACCAATTCTCTTACAGTGGTCAACAAATTATGTTTGTCATTTGAAGACTCTTTGAGATGCTTTGCAAACATTATAGTATATAATTCCACCAAGTTGTAAATAGAATAAATCGTTGTTAATTTAGTTTCAGAAGATATAATTTGTTCAATTTTAGACTTGACCGATCTCGACAACGAATTCAATATTCTTCCCGTAACATCATCGATTATATCCTTATATTCAACGTTTTCTTTCCCATCCACTTCCTTGCTAATAGAAAATATACTACTGATAGTTTCCGTCTCATTTACGACAACTGAATGTATATAAGCCAACAAGTCACCAATAAACCTCACAGGATCATGAGCAGATAGAATAATTGGTCTATCGTGTTGGATAGATCCTGACCTATTGTCACCAGACTTATCTAAGTCTCCATTGATCTGATTCAAAAATTCATCAATGATTAATCTTGATCTTGTGTCAACAAAGTTTTCAACAACAGTATTAAAATAATTTAGCCTGGTTTTTAAAAATTTTAAACATTTATGTAATGTTGTCAATTTTGTAGTAGTATTTAATGAATAAAGATTATTTAATGTCTTATTTGTAAAGCTAATGATTCTCTCTAGTGATTTATTAATTAGTTGATTAAACTTAGCCATTATTTTCAATCCCAATTGTGGATTGTCCACTGATAAAAGAACAGAACAGTTCTCGTGAATTTTTTCACATTTAATCAACACCTCGAAGAATTCATCATTAATTTCTCCATTTTGTAATACATACTCCTCATATACATCCAACGTAAACTTATTTTTGAAGCTCATTAATAATCCTTTCTTCAAATTTATCAAGCTTTTAGTATCATTCAAATCTTTGACCTTACCATTCAAATCCTTAGTGGATTGAAAGTCTCTATTCACCTTTTCCGTGATTGAGTCTCTCAATTTATTCAAATTCTTAAGATCATTCTCTAAGCTATTCAAATTTTTAATGACCGGCTGATATTCCTTTAACACCAACCCCTGTGTCTTAATAAGATCGTTTTCAATATCTCCTCTTAATTTCTTACGTGAGTTAGATCCTGTAACCCCAGGCTCAACAAGTGCCTCTATATTGTCAATTTTCAAGTCCAAATTAGAAAAAATATCTCTGACTAATGAATCTGGCATGGAATTATTAAGTACCCTGGATAATCTAGTTGATAGGGTAGTTGTCGCTTTCGACCTATTTAAGTCTGTCTCATTTTCCTCTTCATTCCCATCCTCCAAACTATTAATCAAATTTAAGGATAAATTAGCATACTTTTCTGCCAACTTGATTTCTTCAGACTCGTCTCCATTAACTGTGCTATCATTCTTTTCATCGAACTTTAATAAGGTTTTCGTTAGACTATTAAAATTGGAAAAACGCTTACCTAAATTTTCAATATTTGATGTTATTGGCAATGACAATGCAGGTTGTGGTTGAGGTATTTCATCCTGCTGAAACGAATCAAAGTCTATGAAATCCATATCTATCTACCTGTAGATTTCTATAACCATTAATTGATCAATTATTATCATATAATCAGAAGAGCGATCTGCTAATCCGTTGATGTAGAAGGTAATTGAGCCACCTGTATATAAATTTAACGTAAACATTGAATTTTCACTTACTATAAACAATAGATTATGGAATAATCTAAGCAAAATGTATTACAACATATGTATTATATCCAGCATATACATAGAAAAGTCTCTTAAAAACAAGCCAAACCCTATTTAGTAGGTAAAGAAATTTATATATTCCAAACATTCAGCTAATCTAAAATCCTGAAAAATCAAGATAAAATATCATTTATTTTCATGCTAATCCTTCTTGAATGATTGGATGGTTGAGGGCGATCCTCGCTAACACCGGCTGCAAGAAGAATAGAAGAAATTCCATTTCCATTACTGGTAGGACTCTTTGGAATTGATGCGACGTAATCTCTATTTGAAAGTGGTTCGTGCGAAATAGGTGAGATTTGAGTCTGACTTAACGATTGAAGACACTTTGATGCGTTGACTAAATCTATCATGTCGTGGTAAGACATATCTGAAGAAGGAGTATGTTCTGCCAGATTCTCAGCGATCAGATTGGTATGACTAGGTGTACGAAACGAATGTTGCGGCATTTGGTTAGGGGTATGAAAAGTATTCTCAGCCGTATGTGCAAGGCTATGTGGACTATGATACAGTGCAGAAGATAGCTGAGAGTTTGGCAGTATGTGCATAGTCGTTTGATAAGGAGTATGTAATGACAAGCTTTGTGTCGATGGTACTGTGGCCGCTTGGCTCTGGGGAATTGAAAGACTTGATGAGTTAGAATTGTGAGTTAAGGAAGATAATGCATACTGAGGGGTATTCTCTTGATATTGGTACGGTTGGCTGTATAATCCTGTCGTTTGAGGAAAGGTGAATTGAGGTAAGCGTTGAGGAGTATTATAAATGGGAATAGAATTTGGATTCAGAAACTGATTTGTCATTGGCATTGGCAAATAAGATGCTGATGATGCTCTTTTGATGACAGGAGATTCCAATAATGAATTTGATTGGCGCTTAACTACTTTGTGAGTCTTTTTTCCTTGTCTAGACTCCACGACACTGCCATTCATATATTCGTCCAATTTTAATTCCCCAAAACCTTTATCATCTGGCGTTAAACACTCCAGAGGGAATGTGTTTCCAAAAATAGGGATCAATTGAAATCTTATATGGTAGCAAAATCGTTTGGCTAACATTTTACATAAATCAAATGGCAACCAGGTTCCTTGGATCTTCAAAAAACCCCCTCTGATGCGTTTTATATGCTGGTGGTATTGTTTAGGGGTGGATTCAAGTAGCTTAACAATATCAGCCTTCAAATTTCTGTGGGTATTAACTTCATCGTTTATTGACGCTTTCCAGATACCTGTTAAGTGGACAAATCCCGTCTCATAATCCCAAATGATCCAATGGCTGTTAATGCTATATTCGAAAACAGTGACATAAATCCTCAATGGATCAATTGCAGATGTAGAATATTTCTTTGTCTCAATCTGAGGGTAAATGGATTGTACGCTAGCGATATTTTCCAGTGGAATATCCAAACTTAGCTGATGCACAGGAAAGTTAACTTTGTTGGACATATGAACCTCTGAATTACCATGTGTCTTGGTGGGTGTCTTATTCAGCCTATTCTGGAACTTATTGATCAAGGGGAATTGTGTTTTCGGAAGTGACTTACTCTTCTTGTGTTTGCCAATTGTCGGACCAAACCCATTTCTTTCAGGAGTATAAGCTATTGGGGCAAAATTCATGCCAAATTCGCTATTAGATCTATAATTTATTCTTAACCCATTATTCATATTGGCATTATTCATGGTATTAGTCTCATGGTATCTGATACTATCCTTATTGCCCCCATTTTCATCATTCGGGGGGTTAGTAGGAAAGTATTGAGCGTAACTTGGTTGATACGAATCATACGAAAATTGACGGGGTGTATTAAAAGGTATCATAAGTTCTATTGAGATATATTGAAAAAGATATGTAATATAGGTATTAAATATATGTATAAAAAGGTATATAGTATGTGAATAATTACTAGATCAACTTATGTCAACGGTAAAAAATACTCCTATGCGTCTAGTTACTACGAAGGGCTTTATATAGAGGCAGTGAAGCAATGTTCTCTATTGTTAACAAACAATAGCTCCTTAACTTAAAAAGAAATAATAATGCATATACTCTTACGTCCCCATAATGTGCAACCGGAAGGTTAATAAGCTTCCCCTTTAATGTATAGCCAGGCATCGACTGCGTGTTGAAGGAGGTGGACTCATAAGTTGATCGCGCAAGGAATGATCAAAGAATCAAAACCTAAGCGCAATGTGGTTAAATAGCTCAGCATCAACTAAAAACCCAATAACAATGCCTTTCTCCAAATAAGGTCGATTCAAGCTTTTCAGCTCTCGGGCCTGACTAGGAAAGGTGTGAATACGCTTATTAATTAACTACGAGATACTATTTAGAAATAATATTCGTCAAAATATCGTGATATTAATAGTCAATAATAGTACGATGATTAGCGATGGGCCCGTATGAAGGGCTAGATGCACGAATGGTGATGCAGGTTTATGCCTTGGTGCTCATAGAAGATGGGTACAACTATCTTCTGATAAGATAACACAAACTGCGAATGACTTTTGAGGCAGGAAAGCAACCTGTATTAGACAGGTGTACTGGTCTTGTATGCGGTAGCTAGTGAATAAGTGCAGAACTTTGATGCCTAGGTCCATTTACGCAGGCGAATTGCGGCAAGCCGAAAGCATCGTATTAGTGAACCTCGTCATTTTTTTCTGAAGAACTCGGAAGATAAGATATTTGGAGCAGATGTTAGGAGTAGCTTTTTTGAAAATCCGTATTCGAATATATAGTCCGTGGTGTAGGGATGTAGTGTTGTTATAACATCTCGTAAGGCATAATCGTACAGTCAGTCCAAACCTCCATGAATGAAAAATTGGTTGATTGAGAACGCCAGATTGATGATAGAATGGTTGTGTTTAATAAGAGTATTTTAACAAGCTCAGTTAAAAGCAAGTTTTGGTACAACAAAAACATATATCTCCGTAGTTTCGCAACAATTAACAAATTATACGATTTTCACATTATAATTTACTATTTTACACTATTTTTTAAAATAGAGTTAGAACCTTAAAATTAAAGCAACGAAACTTGTATCTTCCAGAATGGTAGTATAATGGCTATTAGATGCTTTAGAAGTTATACTGCAATTAAAGTGGTCCTCCCATAAGTGACTTTGCACGGACACGAACTTTTAGATCAAAAGTGAGGTGAGACTATCTTAACCTTGACTTATCTTACGTATAGAACTTTTCAGAATCACAACTATGTTTAGACTGTTGAAGGGTACGACAAGACACTTATCATTTGTTCGCCATTATTCAAAAGAACCGGAAAAGATAAACCGTCACGTATGTATTTTCGAAGACACTTTTACTATCAGTATATTAACGTTTAGACAATCCTCTATAAGCAATTTGGCAAGGCCTTAACAAAGATGTGTGCAATAACAATGGGGACATATTACGGGCTACTTGGATTACATGACTGGTTGGAGTACGATTTGGAGAAGAAGAAGTAGGATTTGTTGCTAGGGGAGATATACTTGGAATTATGATAATTGACTGATTTTCAATGCCATATTTGACACAAAGCCAAAAAGAAGTTAGAGATTAGTCCCAAAATTTGACTACTTGAAAATTATATGGATAACATGTTCATTAATGTATATGTTGTTTATATTTACGTAATGGAAACCATAAGCATTTCCTGATTGCTATTTATGACTCCAAAAGAATTAAAAAATATTATTTGTTAAATCTAAACTTGGATTTGCTTCTCTAATTTGTCGGAAACTGCATCCAAGAATTCAGTGGTGGTGACATAGGAGTCTCTATCGGTTTTACCAAGAGCTAAAGCCAAGTCCTTAGTCATAATGCCATCTTCTTGGACAGTGTCTAAGGTAGCTTTTTCAACAGTTTCAGCGAATTTGACAACATCTGGGGTGTTATCTAATCTACCTCTTTGAGCAATACCTCTAGTCCAGGCGAAGATAGAAGCAATCGAGTTAGTTGAGGTTTCTTTACCTTGTTGATGTTGTCTGAAATGTCTTGTAACGGTACCGTGAGCAGCTTCACTTTCAAAGGCCTTTCCATCTGGAGTCATCAAGACAGAAGTCATTAAACCCAATGAACCAAATCCTTGAGCAACGATATCAGATTGCACATCACCATCATAGTTCTTCAAGGCCATAACAAATCCACCCTTAGATTTAATCATTTGTGCAACCATGTCATCAATTAATCTATGTTCGTACCAAATGTTATTGGCTTCAAATTCTTTTTTGTAAGTAGATTCATAAACTTCTTGGAAAATATCCTTGAATCTTCCGTCGTACTTCTTCAAGATAGTGTTCTTGGTTGACAAGTATAATGGCAATTTCTTAGTTATTGCCATCTTGAAAGAAGAATGAGCAAAACCAATAATAGATTCGTCAGTATTGTACATAGCTAACCCGACACCAGGACCCTTGTAGTCGTACACAGTTCTGGTTTCAGGAGCTCCACCATTCTCTGGGGTGAAAGTCATTTCCAACTTACCTGGTTCGTTAATAACCAAGTCAGTTGCCTTATATTGGTCACCGTGAGCGTGTCTTCCAATGACAATAGGTTCTTTCCATCCTGGCACCAATCTTGGAATTCTAGGAATAATAATGGCTTCCCTGAAAACAGTACCACCTAAAATGTTTCTAATGGTACCATTTGGAGACAACCACATCTTCTTCAACTTAAATTCTTCAACTCTGGATTCGTCTGGGGTGATTGTAGCACACTTGACACCGACTCCGTATTCCTTAATGGCGTTAGCAGCATCAATGGTGATTTGATCGTCGGTCTTGTCTCTGCTTTCAATACCTAAATCGTAGTATTTCAAATCAACATCCAAATATGGATTAATCAACTTGTCCTTGATTCTTTGCCAGATGATTCTGGTCATTTCATCACCGTCTAATTCAACGATTGGGGTTTTCACCTTAATTTTATCCAAACTGTTTAAACTCGACGAAAATGAACGCATTGAAAATTTGCCGAACCCAGACATAGCTGGGTTTCTCATAACTCCACTTCTGAACATATTTTATTATCCAATTGTATATTAATCCTCTAATTCGAATCAAAAAAGACTGTAGGTTTATAGTTCCGTTCAAATTTATATGAAAAGATTGGAGTGAGTCAACCAAAAACCGATTCCGCACTGTTGACTCCGGTTCCGCTATTTTCGATTCAAGGTAAAGGGAGGTTGACCGAATAACGAATAGACCACGTCAAATCGTACATTGTGTAACATATTCTAATTGAAAGTACATAATCTGCAAAGGTCTTAAATCTTGCAGAATGTAGACTTGATTGGTGCTCAAGCTTGAGGCTCATCGAACTTTTTAAGTTGCAATAACTTGTATGCTACAAAATCACGAAATTAGTGGCACGAAACCCTATGGATCGATCTATCTCCATGAACTACCCTTAGGTACTACGTTGGTATACTCTATGTAGTAATTTGAAATGTCTTGTTGAAGAATATAATCATGGCATGGTTGTGGTGATAATGAACACAAAGCCGCGACATGAAAATTGCACCATCATTTGATCAATACTGGATAGCAAAATTGTTCACTACAGACTCAGAAATAAAATATAGTAAATAACTGCTAGTAAGCACTTAGCTATTTACTTACATGAACACCCTTATCTAAATCATAATAATATTCGTACAGAGCTGATTATTCAAAGTAAGAATCTGCAATCATTTTATTTGTACATCGTGCTAACTTTCTCTCTTGTATTATAAAAGTAAAATAATAATGGACATAGATGAACCTTTCAATCCTGAATATTATCAGCATTTGCTATCGTCATTGACATTAAATTCCCGAACATTGATTACTGAATTAACAACCATTGCAGAAAAGAATACAGACCAGGCAACAGAAATTGTTGACATTATAGAGGAAAGAATAAAAAAATGTTTGCCACAGTATAAGCTATTTGCTGTCTACTTACTAGATTCTATTTGTAAAAATATAGGGAATCCATACAATTTGCTATTTGGGTCTAGGCTTTATAAAATTTTCACTGAAACCTACTTGGTTGTGACGGATACACCCACAAGACAAAGCTTGATCAATCTTTTCAAGACATGGACCAATGGTAGAACCAACTCGGGGTTGGAGTTATTTCCCGCTAAAGTCATACAGAAGATCGAACAATTCATAATACGGGCGACTTCGATTAGTCAAACCAATCAGCCGAGTCTTCCATTGAAATTGACTCCTGACATGCTATTGAGAGAAGGTAATTGCTTGTTGCAGTACATCATCGTATTAAACGGAGAATTGGAAAAGTTGCCTCAGACAAATGAGAAGGTAAAGGAATTTGTTGATACCAATAATAAGATTCGAAATAATGTTATTTCGATAATCAATAATGTTAGTGATAGTATCCTAAGCAATTCAAAACAAGAATTTGAAAACAACGTCACATCTTATCATACTGATTTACAGGGAGCAAGAAAGGTCATGGACGACCAAAGTTTTCAACAGAAACAATTTTTGGGTCTGAATACGTTTGAAGAAAATGCCAGCCAAATTAAAATTGAAATTGACCTATCCCCGAACCTAAAGTTCTTCCAGTTCAACAGACCAATATCAGAAGATCCCGATCTACTAGAATACGTGAAGGATTGGGGCAAACCAATAATAGAGCGCATATCACAGATTCCAAAGGCCGAAGTTCCACCTCCGGTCAAAATACCGTCTAATAACCTACAAGAAGAACCCAAGTCGTCTTCCTCGACTCCCGAGCCGTTGAATAACGCCCTAGGAATGAACCTAGGATCGATAAATTTCATGGACTCCTTCCTAGGGTCTCCCAAAAACGAAATCTCCAAGTCCCCCATCACCGAGATCATCGAAAACCCCGTCGATTCCTACGACCCAGAACACAGCATTGTTGACGACGACTGGTCCCTTCATCCTACATCACACCCGAATTTGAAAAGAAAGACTTCAATTGATAAACCTGTAATTAAAAAAGTAAGATTTGATATTTAGTATATAGTTACCTAAATTAAATAATTATTCATTGAATGAACCAGCCTTCTTTAAATGCCAGTAAGTACTTAAGAATGGGAATGCAAAGAATGTACCAGCGACACCCCAGAAGTAGAAACTGAAAGGAATGAACTTTCTACCCTTGACCTTGAATGGTAAGTTTGAGTAAACACCGCTTTGTGGAGATCCGAAAATCTTGTTCAAGCTTCTAGTAGAAGTTTGGAAGTTTCTGGCAGAAACCTTTTGGCTAATGAGCTTTGATCTAGCTAACATATTACAATATATTTCTTAAATAATCCTAGTATCTATATACTATAAAAACTTGATTGGTTTTGATGAAGTGAGTTCATATTTCGAAATTACACAAAACCTTTAATATTGACCAATGAAATTTATTTTAAATTTTCAACATCAACTGATTTTCTCAAGTAGTATATAGATAAACGAGGGATATAATTGTTATTTCTTTGAATAAAACAACCGTTAGAAAATATAAGATGGCTATTGCTCCAATTACAGGTACTTTGAAGAGAAAGATCATTACTGATATCACCGTTGGTTTCGGTTGTGGATTTGTTTTAGCTACCGCTTACTGGTATGTCGAACACAAGCCATTGATTGTCAAGAGAGAAGCCTACTACGCTAAATTGAAGGCCCAAAAGGAAGCTGAAGATTCCGCTTAGACGACATTGCATTCAATTCATTCGAAACACCATGTCATATTAATATATATATGAATACACTATTTTTAAGACAACAAAAATAAACGTTATAAATTTGAATTTGAGCAAGGACCCATGGTAGGGCTTCTTGAATGAGAGAAGTGAGAAGGATGACTACGGATATACGTATTTTTTTAATAAATTGTGTTAAGAAACATGAGCAGCACCAATTCTGTAGTCTGTGATGTAGTTGTGCTGAACCAGCTTATTTAATTGGAGATTGAGCTTCTAGAAGGGGTATTTTTTCTGCTAAATAGTCTATATGAAAGAAGGGCATGGCAAAATGTACATTAAGCTAACTCTTGAAGACATCAAGCAACTTGTCGCTGTTTACTATACCACTAGTGAGGATAATGAAACGTTTGGCGATGCCAATCTTCTGTAAGCGTTGCTCTAAATATCTTAAGCAGCTGATTTCTCCTCTAGTAATACCTCCAATGCATATGACGACAACAAATTCTTCACCTTGATCAGCGTTCGAATCATTATTTCTATCATCCAGGGTATCATCAATATTGATGTCTGTTGTCTTTCCATGGAACATTGTATCTAGACCGAGTTTTTCCCAATTTGGTCTCTTGCTAGTATTATTCACTGGTTTATATTCAAGGAAGTCCCGTAAATATAGCGATTCAATGATTCTCGAAATCAAAGGTACAGTACTAGATGGTAAAGTAAACGACGGGTTAGGATATTCATCTATCAACAGTCCTGATTTTGTTCCCGTTGATTCTTCTACTGTAGGATGTAAATTCCAAAATTTGTTGATCAATGTGTAATTACTTTTGTAGGTATTAATGCCACCTGAAATACCGAGTTTAGCATTTTCTTTATTTTCGTCTTTTTCGTCGTCTTTATCTTGGTTAGTTAAATAAGTTAGAGCACTACTAAGCAAGTCATTATTATCATTAATTTTCACAATTTTGTTATCAACTAAATTATCAATGACAAAGATAATTTCCATACCAAAATTGTCCAATATTTCTGTATAAAGTATATCAAAATCCTTTTCTTTAATACCGTCGTTGACAATTGATATTAGTACTATGGTTGACACCACAATTTTGTAGTTGAAATTCTCGGCAAGAAAGCCTCGTAAATAACTTATCTGTGTCTTATAATCAATGTCAAATAATTCATTTTCGAAATTTAAGAACTTTTCATATTCGTTAAATTTTCTATTAGACTTGGTTGGTTTATTTTCAATGTCACCATTTTTAATATAATTTAATATACATTCCGATAAGAAAGTATGCTTCTTAATCAAATCTTGCTTGGAGGTGAGATTTCCCAAATTGCTTACCAACTTTTTCATTTCATTCAAGCTCTGGAGATTATCTTTGGCACTGAACTCATTCTGAATAAATTTCGCTAATTCATTTAATTTAATACCGATTGAAGCAAAATTCAAGTGCTTTAATTCATCATACAATTCATCATTTAGTTTATATTTTGTCTCTCCAACGTTTACATTGTCAATATCAATTCCAAATAAGTCGTCAATTAGTCCTTGATAGTTTAACTGGTTTAGTATGACTGAAACAAAATCTAAATTCCTCTCGACAACTACTAAATCTGTGTTTCCTTTAGCTTTAGTCAAATAAAATTCCTGTTCTAATGAAGAAAGCTTCAGGCTTAAGTATTCGGGGATTCTTTCATTGTTAATTATGTTAATCAATAAGTTCGCATGGTCGCCCTTACCATATATGTTCTTTAATTTCATGCATGACATATTCGAAGCCTTAAATGAATTTTCCAATAGAGATATAAATGAACTAGACAATCCGTATAATTGTAATAATGGCTGGTTAAAGTAAGAATCGAGACCTCCATATGGAGATTCAATAGACAACACCCGTGCTTCTTCGTCTATAAGTATTGGATTCATCTCCCAATTATACAATCTAATCATCGATGTAAACTTAATGATCTCTTTACCAGTTTTAAGATCACAGATCTTTTCAAACGTAATATTCCCATTAAGGGTTTTATTGATTTCGTAAATAAAAGACTTGGTTAATTGCTTGACAATAATATGTATTTTTTTCTTACCAATTTGCTTGACAGCCTTTGATAACGCTTGAAGGTTATCATTGGTTTCATTGAGAATAAATATAAACCCATCGAACGAATGGAGAACGTCCTGTTCTATATTGTCTCCAATCCATGCTGTTTTATCTATTTTCGCTATTTCCTTTAATTTCAGGAATGGGGTTAAATAATTTATTAGTGTTGATAAGCGTTGGTCTAAAATCAATAAATTTTTAGTTGTGTAAACTCCATGCAATATGTCAATCAAGTTATCAATTGCCTGCTTATTCAACAGTTTCAACCGCTGATCTAAATTGCTCAGATCATTTGTCATAGTCTTGATTAATATGGGCTGGTTGATAATATTTGGTTCTCAATTCTACATTTATTTTAAAGAGCGCCGTTTCGTATCGTAAATTTATTAGACTAAATAATGCTACATTATTATATTTGTTCTTATTTATTTATAACTTAGCCCTTTCTTCTATGCCATTAAAATGTACCAAACCTTCTTGGATAATGGAGGCAACGTGAACCCCTTTCTCATTATACATTTCTCCTTCTAATAAAGCCCTATTATTGGCAAACCTAACATTTTTGAAGCTAAACCCCATCCATTGAGTAACATCAAAATCAGTGTCGTGAAAATACATTATATGGTCCAATGAAAGAGAGAAGTACAGGATGGTATTGAAATGGTTAATATCAGGAATCCGTAATATTCTTGCCAACCTTGTCAAGAAGTACGAATCAGATAAAACTCCCAACCCAACATATTGGAACGCAGGATCCTTTATCTCAACTTCACCGTCATTTCCCCATTTGACATAGAATGACAATTTTCTTTCACTAGGTGCTATTTCGTTTTCATTTTCAGTTTTGTCTAGGTGAACCATTTCTGGAGTGATCTTGTGATAAATTAGTCTCTCTTTGCTTCTATCATCTAAATTCAAACTTTCAGGAGGTGAATCTTTGAGCCACTTAGGATAAGGTGTTCCAAAGCCAAATGGTTTCTGAACATGAGTCTCATCATCTTCTTCCCCTTGTTCTTCTATCCTTTTCCTATAGTTTAAATATTTCTCAGTGGCATCCTTATTTGAATTTTTTCTTGTTAACGAAATATTGGCAATGTACTTGATCTCTCCATCTTGGATAGCTTTAACCAGTCTATTACAAAAATTATTACCTTGACTAATGACCTGGACCTCCCAATCAACTACCGAGTCTGGTGAAGTTGCCTTAACAAAAAATGAATGAAGAGCATGTGGAGTAAATCCTTTCGGTGAAGATCTAATTGCCACAAGTAACGCTTGTCCAGCAAGGTTCCCACCATAAACTCCACGAGAAGATGGGTGAGGTTTTGATAATGGAGCATTACCTTGAAACTTGGTTTCTGAAATTTGCTTAACTCCTAAACTATATTCTACGTCTTTCATATTAAATTATTTGGCTAACCGAAAGACAATACGAAAGCTAACAATACACTAAGGATAATTAGTATCTGTGCTTATTTGATAGCTTTACAGAGGAATGAAGCTTATATATGTATGTGCAAAAAGCACGAGCGCATGGCTATCTATCCATGTGAAAATGAGTCTACGATCTTCTAATGCAAATAGCCGAAACACTATTCATGATCTACTTTTTTTTGGTCATAAATATCGGTATATTAATTCTAAAGTATGAAATATAAGGGTTTAAATGCATTATGCCTATCACAATTTATATGAGCCACCTACAGCTTTGTCAATGTACTTTTTCGGTATTAAGGCGATTGCTTCCTGAACAATACTAACAACCATAGTACCTTTTTCATTAAAAACTTGACATTGGCATAAGACACGGTCGTTACTCATTCTCGAGAACCTGTAATCTAAAAAGAGCCACTTTGTTGGATCAAAGTCAGTATCATGAAAATAGACTGTATGATCTAAACTTACTCTGAAAAAGTTGAAAATTTCTATGCTTAAAGGTATTCCTAATGAGCACACCAAAAGAGAGAGATAGAAACTATCAGATGCGAAAGCCATACTGATCAATCTGGCCTTTAACTCGTCCTTAGCCAAGCTGATATCATCGTTGACTCTGACAAAAAACCCTATATCTCTCATTCCCGTTTCTTGGGAAAGAAAATCGGAAGGCATTCCCGTGAAGTACTCTGGGGGAACTATATGCTGCAAGTTACCATTTGTATGCTCAAAATATTGCATGTCATCCAATTTATCATAGTACTTCTCAAAAAAGTATTGAGGAGATCTCTGGAATTCAAATGGAATTTTGGTACCAGGGTTGGTCTCATAATCGAGTTTTCTTTGCTGAATTGAGTTATTTCTGGTAAAAGATGCAGTTAATATGAAACAAAGTTGGTTATTATGCTGTTGGTAACAATGCACTAATCTGTTGCAGTAGTTTCTACCTTCCATAGTCTTCGTAACTTCCCATCTCATGACCGATTCTATGCTTCCAGCTTTCAAAAAATACGAGTGGAATGAGTGTGGACTGAAATCTGGATCATCAACAGTTTCCCAAGCAGCTAATAGCCCCTGTGAAACAAATTCGCCACCATAGGTACCTCTAGCTCCTTCTTTAAATGGTTCTAATGGATAATTTCCTTCCAAGACTGTATCCGAAAGTTTCTTTAAAGAGAACTTCTCTTCCAATTTACAAACCTTCACGTTATTATAAATTTCTTCTATGCTCATGGCTTAATTGTTATTATTATTTATGGGGTGAAGATAAGTAAAAGTAGTCAAGATGACCCCATATTTTTGTACGGAAGATCAACAATATTTATATGAGTGTTCCATATCCATCACATCGCGGACCTTGTAGATAGCGATGGGCCGAGGATAAATCTCAAAATTTCTTTTTCCCCAACGTTGCTCCTCATACAGGCGGATATATACCGTGGATAAAACAACTGATTCAAATAGCCGTTGGGCGAATGGTCAGCTACTATATACAATGCGCTAAGCTCGGTTTACGTTTGGAGTGGGGTAGATATTAACTACGTAATTAAGTCTATCAGTTTTATATATTAATATTAGAGATTAAATAGATATCTATAGCTTAGCCTTTAGTTCCGAGCCACTGTGGAAAAACACCAAACCTTCTTGGACAATGCTTGCAAATAATTTACCATTTTCGTCGTAGTAACCACCTTGTAATAAAACCCTGTTATTACTGAATCTTGGGGCCGAGAAATTGAAGAAAACCCATTTCGATGGGTCAAATGAATCGTCGTGGAAGTAAATTGAGTGGTCTAAGGAAACCGAGAAGAAATGATCCCCTTTACCACCACTGCTACCGATTCCACTACCTGGAATAGGTAAATGCAATACTCTCGACAATGAAGTCAAGTAGAGAGAGTCTGAAACGATACCAAAACCCGCGTACTTGTACTTAGGGTCTTTAGAAGCATCATCGATTCTAATCCAGAACGATAGGTCCCTTTTAGCCGCAGATGTTTTGGACTCATCGGGATTCAATTTGTGATCCACAAAATCAGGAGGAATTTTGTGCTGTAATGTTTTGGTATGATCGATATGGCTAGTTTGTAAATCTTCATGCTTGTATTTGTAGAAATTAGGGGCAACCGGGGCCTGGAATTCAAATGGTGATTGTTTCTTAGGATCTTTGGCATACTCTCTAGCAGCATTCGCTTGCGAATTCCTCTTGGTAAGCGAAATCATCACAATATACCTCATTTGTCCCTTCTGAGATACTCTGATGAGTCTGTTTGCAAAGTTTTTTCCATCATTCAATTTTTCTACCTCGTATTGACATGGTATAGTATCATCTCCCGCTTTTATGAAGTACGAATGGAGCGAATGTGGTGTAAACCCAGGTTCACAAGTTTCCATCGCAACAAGCAAGGCCTGTCCACATAGGTTTCCTCCATATACACCACGGGAGTTCAACGATGGCTTGGATAACGGTTTAACACCTTCATATTTGGTATCCGTTAATTTACGTAATTCAAATGCTTTTTCGAGTCTTGACTGCTGGACAGTAATAGAATTATCAATCAGGGCATCAGACATATTTGTAACTTTATCTACTGAAATTAAATACTGCAAAAATAAAATTTTTGATTCAAGAATAAATACCGGTATTTAAATCAATGAGTTCTGTCAGTATCTTTATATTATTTTCAACATAATGCTTATCGCCTGGAATGCTGCAACACTGCCTGAGTATTTTTTTCACTAACCGAGGAAGAAATATTGTGGAAGACTGAACCGATGAGATGTTATGACACGTGACCGGAAAACCCAACCGGAACCATAGCTATTTGAAGTAGGCCATAGGCTAAAGGTGATTAGCTACATCCGAGAAAAGGTATGCCAAACCTTCTTGAACCACAGTTGCAACACACGAACCTTCTTTGTTGAACAAATGACCCCTCACTAACGAGCGGTGATTAGACAAGCGTTTTACTTGGTAAGTAAAGGTCAACCAATCTTGACATATATCGAATGCATTTTCATAATCGTCGGTATGAAAGTAGATATGGTGGTCTAAAGACATAGCATTGTAGTGAAACACATGTAGAATATTGAAGGACAGTTTGAGTAGGATACGGGCGTCTCTTTCACTATCAAATTCGTCGGGGGAATAATTTTCAGTGGGGTTCCATGGGAAATGCAATACTCTTGCAAGAGTAGTTAGAAGAGCGGAGTCTGATAAGTCTGCGATACCAACATAATTATAAAGCGGATTTTTAAACAGTTTTTGTTGGTCAATTGCGCTGTAAACTGTAATCCAACGGTCCGCTGGAGCCTGGTCCTTCTCCTGGGGCACTAAATTGTGATCTAAAAATTCATCTGAATAAGCGTTTTTGATGTAGTCTGTGTGGTGAACTTTATGTAGTTTGCTAGGATCATCAATTTTTGTGTGGACCCTGGGGATTTCATACGGGCTGCCGAGATTTTCGTCTCTACTAGACTTTTTTGCTAAAATTCCCTTCTTTCGTAAAGTAACCATGCAGTTGGATTTGATCTGGCCATCCTGGATTACTTCGATCAACCGGCTGGCATATGCATCTCCCTCAAGTACTTTTGTTACTTTATAGGACATAGGTTTTTTGTGATTCCCTGCCCCAATGAAGTATAGATGAAATGAATCAGGGATATAACCAGGCGCAGATTCCATTCCCACTAACAATGCCTGTGCACATATATGTCCTCCATAAACACCTCTGGCAATACTCATGGGTAGTCTCAACGGATGTGCACCCACGTAGTTATTTTCATCAATTTTTATGACCCGAAACGCCTCTTCAAAATTCTCTATCTTAGAAGACATCTTATAATATCAATTTCTGAAGTACAGCTAATACTTATTCAAATGTTTTGCTTGGGGAGTAAAAGGATATAGTCTTGTTGGGTTTCATTTATACTTCATGTCTTTCAAGACGACCCCGCAAAATTCCGAGCATCTCTCTTCTTACATATGATAACTGTTTTCGCTTACGGCTAATTACATAATAGTACTAAATATAATTGCACACATCGATCTATCATATATTGAAACGGTCGTATACATATAGAGGCGAATCAATATTGTTTATATTATATATCTTTGACTTAATATCTATATAAGTGTATGTATGCATTAATTTAGTTTATAATACAAACTGATCATCTCCTAAATACATTTTGACGGTAATTCTTCAAGTCAAGCGGTTTATTTGGCATTATGGCAGGTGGTGCAGGAATATACAAATATATGTTAAAGATATAGTCGTTACTAAAATATTAGATGATAATTTAGAAATAGATTTTGATAAGTTGCAATTAGCTATGTGATTTAGTTATCAACTATCTTCATCATCCGAATAATTAAATTCAATATTGTATTTTTTATGAAAACTAGTTTCGAGATCTTTGTGGGTATCGCGATGCTTCAACTTGTAAGACGGAGTATGAATTAGTCTGGTTTGGATCAGTTTGTCCGAAAGAGTCAAATCGGTAGGATCATGGAACTTTTCATTGACTCTCATAGTAGGTTTGACCTGATGCACTGAATAGATATTGGACTTAGTATACTTTGGTAGGATATAGTTACCATTATGCTGCGATTGGAACCTCCTTTGTTTCATTGTTAACTGAGCATCTTCTTCAGCGCCTTCCTTTTCATTTATATCTTCATTTGACGTTTGGTCTACCCTTAAGCCAAGCAATTCACGTTGCTTGTTGTTGAGTGGTAAATCTAAACATTGGTCTTGGCCTTTTGTTAATCTGTAGAATGATAATATACAATTGAAAAGGAATATACCATAAATAACACGAATGGCTAATATAGTATAAAAGCCAACTGTTCCTGGATGGGTGTGATCATGCCTTATAGGCGGATAATAGCCCCCAACACTTTGAAATGGCATTCTTTTATACTCATATAAGGTTAAGAAGTAGTTTCCGACTGCGACAGATAACTTAAAGGCCAATAAATATAATAAGTTGGTTCCTATTATCTTTATTTCTACTTCCCTCCGAGGCTGTCTTCTTAATGCTTCTTTGACTACAGGGTTAAACCAATCACCTGTTGGATTACTATTCGCATCTTCAATCTCATCTATCTCATCATCATCCTTTACAAAAATCGAATCTTTTTGATAAATTTCAGGTGTATTAGCGGCTATTGGTACTTTGTTTGTAGTCCTATCTCTTATACTTCCCTTTTCGAAATTAGGTGGTAGAAAACTTTTAATGCCATATTGTGCGCCTTCGCTTGAAGACGGAGGCCTATAATATATGGGCTCTTTACCAGAACCAATGGCTCGCTGTTGTTTGAATGTATTTGTATGATGTGGGTGTCCCTTATGACTATCTATCGTTAATTTGGTTTGATACAATTGAAATGCAACGTCACTCAATGGAGTTAGAGATGCATTGTTATTATTTACCGGATTCACAATATTTCCTTCATTTGACGAATCAGCCAATTTATTTTCCCTATTATCTTCTCGTATGTTATAGTATCTTTCAGGCAGCACTTCACGACCTTTATTAGGAAGTCTTACATCATTCAATGAATTATTGGATAATTTCTGTAGTGGTGTAGAAAACTGTTCCATATCAGTTGTAGTATCATTTGCAGTATACAAATAATCAGCCGAATAGACTTTTTGTGGCACCGGTGTACTGAAATGCTCAACAGTCATATTAATTAACCTATTGTAAATCTATATGTTACATTATTCTGTCTATGTATTCTTTATTGATGATTTGAATTTTCTATACACAAGTCACGTGTTTCCATTTTGGCTCCAAATAACTATGTTAATGTCCTCCATGTTTAAGTCCAGTATATTATATTAGCTTATGTTAGCCAATGGGACCATTGAAGGTCTTCCGTGCGCACATTGAAAAGGTTGATGACAAGTACTTAATGATTTAATTAAGTACAGCATTTCTTCAATAGTCAATTTATCACCAAACATTATCGCAGATCTGCATGCTTTTGAATTTATAGAGTCTATGATTACTTGTGGCATTTGAACAATGTTCTGAAACCAGTTTTCCGGTGTTAAATTTGAAATATCCACTTTTTTCTTATTATATTCCAAATCAAATAGGTGTTGAAGTAGACATGATTTTAAAAAATCTGCGTCAGTGCCAACCTTTTCAATCAAAATGTGTGGTAGGTGGGTAATGAAGAGCTCATACTCTTTATTGATGACATACTTGATGCCTAAAGATTCAAAGTTCAACAGATACGATTTAAATAAAGTAGTTTCCCTGTTAGAAACAGAAAATATAAACGGCTTATCTAACTCAATATCCAAAGATTTGTTGAGCAACATCAAAATAAATTCTTTCAATAATGATTCAACTCTTATTCTCTCATCACATGCATGCTGATCAACTGCTATAAGCGTTGGGAACTTGGTGTGACTTGCCTTATCAGTTGATGGCATTACAAGTAACATAAATTTTCTATCAAGTTGTCTTATTATCCGATAGTTGCCATTTATGAGATCACCCTTATTAATGTTTGTTTCTTGAAGATCATGATTTTCAACTTCAGAATGTATCATGCTTTGATTTGACTTATTCTCAGTGTTGAACATGCGTTGAGAATCATTTATTGAAGGGTTCTGAATATTTGTGCGTAATATATTGTCAGTAAAAGGCTTTGGTGTAGCAATATCATGAGTATATACGATAGGTTTCAAAAAGTTTCTTGCAGAGCTTGAGTTAAGGGTCGTTATCAAAGAAGCATTCTGCTTCAAAGGATATTTGTCTTTTTTTTGACGCTTGGGACTTGGACTTGGGCTTGGGGAAGCTGACAAATCTTTTGTAATGTATTCGTAACCTTGGGACTTTAGAAAACTCGAGAATACATTACGAACCATACTTAGTATAAGTTTCAAATGATCCGAATAATAAATGCCTTTAGATGGGTCTTGAAAAAGATCTTCAACTATAACAGGACATTGAATGTTTACAATAAATACTGGAAAACGTGAAAATGATTTGCTAGTATATTGTTTTCTAGGAGAAACTTTAGGAGATACATTCTTGTTGGATTTAGCAGACTTTAGGACTCCTCCAAAATTAGTACCAATGAATATTTTGTTTAGATGTTTAGAATCTTCATTAGAAATTAATAGTGGTCTCTTATTAATAAAAATGTATTGAAACTCTTTGGACTGGGATGGATATAAACCGATAATACCATCTAATCTATAGTTTTGATAATTGGCTTCTAAAATTTCATACTCTGATAAAAGAGACTGACCATATATTGACGTAAAAATTGTTGCATAACGAGCTTGTAAATCAGATTCAAGATTTCTTTCGACTGAGATTATTTTCTGAAAAGTATTGGATGGTACATCAAGCTTCATGAGTATCACTTTAGCATTAGCTCTACCCATTAATGATTGGAGTATCACTAATTTAATATTTTCGATTAATTTATGTTCCGGTAGCTTAAATATCTGATTTCTTCTAACCGGTATATTTGCAAAAACATTTGTGGCTGTTATAATAGTTCCACTTTGCAGAAAGGAACCAAACTTGAAATGATCCTCAAGGTAGTTATAAGATTCCTCTTCAAATTTATAAACATTTGGAAGTAGATTTCCCTTTACTTCCTTCAATTTGAAGGCTTGTGAATTCGATTCATGTTTTGATATTATAGATAGATGGGAAATATTACCAATAGAATGTAGAGCTTCACCCCTGAAGCCAAATGTTTTATTATACTTCAATTCTTCTAGCAGATCAATTTTCGAAGTAAAATACCTTTTACCAACTTTATCCAATTCCTCATAACGCATTCCACATCCATTGTCTTCAATACATATGCTCAATGATCGAAGATCTAGCTTCATTTTCACTTGATTGGCATCAGCATCTAAACTATTTTGTAATAACTCTCTTATTGCTGCTTCGAAAGAGCTTATAGTGATTTGCGATTGTAAGAAGTTAAGCACAGACTTGGGTAATTTGTGTATGGAACAATCGGTATGATCATTCAGTTTCATTTCAGCATTGTAGAATGTGGTCTATATATTTCATTAGTTAACTTTGATTGACTTGTCGTAAAAACATCTGATAAGTTTATCTTTGATCGTGAGCAGATAAAAAAATTAAAAATGGGTGTATTCAATCATTACCGAATTTTGAGAGCCTATATTATTTATTTTGATGGGTTCACATATTCAATGCTGTCGGTAGTAGTACTCAAGATAAACAATGAGAAGAATGATTTTGAAAAACCAGAAGACGTATGTTTTGAATAAGAAATGTAAATGAGTTTAAATTATATTAATATTAAATACTAACCTAATAGGTGGGTTGGAATAGCGATAAGCAATTGAAATTAGAGAACTACGTTAAATCTATTGCTAGTGAAACAAGCGATGTGGATAAATTTTTTGAAAAGGTAGACTGGCCTTATTTAACTACCTACCTTAATATAAGAAATCAACAATTCATACAAATGAAAGTGGATGAGATATACGAAGAACAATACTCGATAAAGGTAAATGATGATGGAATTAATACAATCATAGAAGAGTGGAGAAATAAAGATAACGTCGTTTATAGGGAGGTATGCCAATTAGTTGAAAGTTTAAATTTGCAAGAGTTTAAAGTGCATGATGAAAATGGCCTGAATGAACGAGCTGACGGCATTATAGCTTCAGAGGAGGGACAATTAGATCAAGTGGATGATCAAATAGTAGAAGAGAATATTGTAGAAGTGGTACCTCTGTTGCAAGAGGTATCTACCGATAATCGGCAATCATTACATTTCCCCAAAATAGATCTACCTAAACTAACTAGTACTCAAAGAAGGATGTCCTTAGACCTCATGCATACAATTCCTATGATTTCAAACGAAATGTCCACTCAAATACCACAGTTGGCCAAGAAAAAACAAAATTTGAGTAAACCAGCATCAACAACCACAACAAACATCAATGTTACAACTAAAACAGATATAAATACTAAAGTAAGTCAAAAAAAAGCAGCCGTCTCGAATCGTAATCGGTTCCAAGACTTTCTGCGTAAAATTAAGCTGAAAATTACTAGAAATGTAAGTGATGCTGCTTCGTCTCCTATGAGCCCCCTAGTTGTTCAGCTCGACGATACTTTAAGAGGTAAGTCTGAAAATCTAATGGTTGGTACTCAAAATTTTCAAGCCAAACAAGTAAAAAATAAAGACCATTATAAGTCTTCTGAAGTGAAGACAGTAAGAAGACTTTCATTGGTTGGGGAAAATTTGCCGTTGTATATTAGGCAACAGTTAGAAGCAAGCAATACTGCCGCCAACCCGATTCTTCAAAATTCATCCTATCAAGCAGATTATACATCTTCTACGTCTCTATCAAAACGTCAATCAAGGATGCATAATATTTTAGAAAATTCTCAGTCTTTATACTCCCAATCAAAGGATTTATCTTTGATAGAATCAGGAACAAATCAGGATGACGATACAATGCCAAATACAAGTGAAATTGAACGAATTAACGAAAATAACGACGAGACTGAAAATGGCTCAGATGATGATAAAGAATATATACTGCCCGATCTGTTGGCTCGATATTATGGTAGTGATGCTAATGAAGAAGATTTAATTACTAATATCAATGAAATAGAAGATGCTTTTGACTTTATCAACGTCAGAAGCTATGATGCATATGACCAGGAAGGAGACGACGAGGGAGAAGACGAGGGAGAAGACGAAGAAGTGGAATATAACGAAGATGATGAATACCTTTTTAAAATATAACATTAGATCATAAATCTATAAATTCCTATCAATATTATTATAGTTTTTTCTTATTACTTGTAAGTTCTTTAATAGCACTAAGCGAATATTCATAAGTGAAAAGTGAAATTGCACTAGTAGGAGCACTTTTCAAAATACTGATGCCAAAACCCTTATAAAACCCAAAAATCCCTTCATTCTTTAGTATTGTTTTACATAAACCAATTGCCTTAATCGAGTTCTGATCTATATCACAAGTTTTTGATAACATTTGGATTCTTTTCCTTAACGTATCGAGTGGAAAGGTTAGTCCCTTTGCTGTGGCACCAGCAACAAAACCACAGAAACCTTCTAAAAATGGGATAACGTCCTTATAATTATTTGTGAATTCACGAGCTAGTTCATATGACCAGAACATAAGGCCAGTGGACGATGCTACAGAAAGTAAACCTGGGGTTAAGCCTTTACAAAACCCTCGAAAACCGTGCATTTCGTAAATCAGTTTCATGGTGGACAGCATGGACAAGAAATGGGCTTCTGAATTGGCAGCGAGTCTTGTTCTCAATAGATCAAACGGATAAGTGAAGAATGTGCTTGCTAGTCCAGAGCCAGATCCAGCGATTAATGAATGCGTAGAGTTACTTATAGTGAAAAGTTTACTATTATTCTTTTCAAACTCGGACAATGCTTTACTCAAAGCTGAATAAGAAGTAAATTGTATAGCTCCATACAATATGTACAATATTTCTGCAGGGACATTTCCCTTCCACAATGCCTTGACACCTTCATTTTTACAAATACTAATAAAAGTTTTGCTTGCTCCTTTGTACGTACTATATCCTTGGATTTGAAGTTGTAGCCTTATTTTTACTGTGTCCAATGGTGCAATTATTCCTCTGTATCTCTTGTTAGTATCCATCTAGCGGTTATATGATGCTTTAATAAACATACCTAGCTATAGCACCTGAAATTGATCCAGCTATTAATGCTTCATATGGAGACACATTAGAACCCTTCTTCAAATGATTCTCCCTATTAGACGAGGTATCAGACGCAGCGTTCATTCATTTAGTTGTGGCATAAAACAAGAGAGCAGTTCAGGTTCACATCGATTTTTTTTGAAAGGTATCATACATACTGCATATTATTTATTAGGCTGACTATACTTAAGATCTGAAGTATATAGAAAATATAACCCTAACTAAGTCTTGTACTCAGCAAGGACCTCTTTCAAGATGCTAGGATACCACTTTGCAGAGACATCCTGATGGGATTTTATTCTATTTTTAAAAACTGCATGACCCACTGGGAATTTTCCTACCTCAGGACTAAATTGAAATCCAACGTCAACGGCCCAGTTCAGTATTTTCTCGTCTCTTTCGTCCTTCATGTGTAGCACTTCTTTAGAAATTCCTTTGGCCACTGATTTATGGGAGTCGAGGTCAATTGTTTGGAAAAATGGGATTGAAATTCTTGTCCCAGATCCAGCCTTAGGAATCAATACTCTATGAATAGTAGCCTTGCAGACTCCTTGTGTGATAGCTTCCAAAGTCTGACCAGCATTAACGACCAAAGCATTTGGTATATTATCAACGGTGACCCATTTTCCCTGAAAATTTTGCACCTGTAACGATTCAGAATGGGTGGTAGGCTGATAAATATATGTCAAAAGGTCCGAGTCTCTGTGTGGACCACATCCCTGTCCTGTAGAAGGTTTGTCGTCGAGTGCTTTCGATGATTCGTTTGATAATTGACCGCTATCAGGATATGCAATGATCTTCATTTTGCATTGCTGATTTGGCTTGAAATAGCCATCTAGACTTGTTGAATCCAATCCTATAGCCTCACAGACCAATTTTCTAAATATGGTTCCCAACCTCGTCATCTTTTCTATATGAATGAGCACAACTGGCTTAAAATCTGGGGCATATTTTGCATCCGGCCACAAATTAGGACCCTCGATATTTCGGTATATAGGTTCGTCTGGACCAGGAGCAGGAAGCTCAGTACCTAAATCAATTTGTTCCCTCCAATCTGTATGTGATGCTGTAACCTCGTTGGCCAATCTTGTATACCCCAAGAAATGAGGCGAGTGAATCATTTCACATCCCAATTTCACTTCTTCTGGAAGTTCGAAGAATCTTTCTGCTTGCTCCTTTATTTGCTCAAGGTCTTTTCTCGTTGGCCCTACCGTTTCGTAGTTAATAAGGTGGAGAAATCCCACCTCAATCAATGCATGTCTTAAATTTTCCAAGAATTCTGGCTTGGTTTTAGGGTCGAATGCCAATTCTAAATCAATAACTGGAATTTGTTGAAACGACATTTCATGTAAACTATTTACTCCTCTTCAATGAAAATACCTTTAATTAAGGACTGATTCATACATATATCTATATATGTATGTATGGCTCAATTATAATCTACATACTTTATATTACGCAACAACAGATGACTTCCTATATACAAGATACATATTACCTAGGTAATTGCAAATCAGATAAGATATTTGGTTTTATAAGTGGATCTAGTTGATCCTATCTGTCAGTCATACCAAGTAATACTCTAGTTGAGTTATCTGTACTATTCGCCAGCATTAGGTACAATTATGTCTCAATTTAAGAGGGCAATATAGTAGTAACAAAAAACATAAATTGATGAAACCAGAATACATCAACATACAAATTGTTATATATATTGAATGATATAGAGTAGTAAATATAAATAATAGTCAATAAATGTAGTCCCATAGTTGCAAATCTATGTGAAAAATTCATCCCATAGTTAAGGAAATTGGAATCGTCCGCGCTCGTGTCTTTTATTACGTCCAGAAAAATATACTTTTTGATTCCAATATTTTCCATTTAATTTATTTCGTTGGATACTTTGAGTTGATAATAGACAGTTAGATCATGTCTGAATTGGTAAGTAATCCGGCTGTTCAATCGGCCGATTTATTGGTACCTAGACCGATGATCTCTAGGCCATATGTTTGGCCTTTTGCCATCATATATCCAATCTTTTTACAAGTTTATACTCAACACTACGACAAGTATATTGGGGGATCTGAGTGGACGTTTGTATACTTAATTGCTATTTGCTCGTTGAATATGTTATTCTGGTTGATGCCTCACTGGAATATTGATGTTAATGGCAAATTCAACTATCTGCCTGTGAAAACAATTAGCGAAGCTACGCATATTAAGATTGTTCCAGCTCCAAACAGTGGAGTTGGTGAAATTTGCGAAATACTTAGGGAACAATTCCATGATGGTGAAAAACAAGTCAGTTTCTTGTATCAAAAGAGACGTCATTTGTACCATCCAGAATTAGATCATTTTTCACCACCTGAATTCGTTTTTGATCAATCTCCAAAATTGACGGTTTTTCAAACTTCGAAGGGTTTGAAGGGAGATTTAGAAAAAGTTCAAAGAAACTTTGGCGAAAACAAGTTTGATATTCCAATTCCAACCTTCTTGGAGTTGTTCAAGGAACATGCAGTTGCCCCATTTTTTGTCTTCCAGATCTTCTGTGTTGCCTTATGGTGTATGGATGAGCAATGGTATTATTCGTTATTCAGTTTGTTTATGTTGGTTTCTTTCGAAATGACTACAGTTTTCCAAAGAAGAACCACAATGTCCGAATTTCAGAGTATGGGTATTAAACCTTACTCAATTTATGCCTACAGAGACTTGAAATGGAAGCAATTACAAACAACCGAATTGTTACCTGGTGACTTGGTTTCCATCACTAGAACTAGTGAGGAAAGTGCTATTCCTTGTGATTTGCTTTTGGTTGATGGTTCTTGTATCGTCAATGAAGCTATGTTGTCTGGTGAATCTACGCCATTATTGAAAGAATCTATTAAATTAAGACCATCGGATGAAGCCTTGAATGTTGAAGGGTTTGACAAGAACTCCTTATTACATGGTGGTACCATGGCATTGCAAGTTACTAAGCCTGAAAGCCCTATTGTTCCCTTAGCTCCAGATAGTGGTGCTTTGGCTATTGTGGCTAAGACTGGGTTTGAAACGTCTCAAGGTTCATTGGTGCGTATGATGATTTTCTCTAGTGAAAGAGTCTCTGTTGGAAATAAAGAAGCATTCTTCTTTATTTTATTCTTGTTAGTATTCGCCATTGCTGCTTCGTGGTATGTTTGGGTTGAAGGTACTAAAATGGGTCGTATTCAATCGAAATTAATTTTGGACTGTATCATTGTCATCACTTCTGTTGTACCACCTGAGTTGCCAATGGAATTGACCATGGCCGTTAATGCCTCTTTAAGTGCTTTACAAAAGTATTATATTTATTGTACTGAACCATTTAGGATTCCTTTAGCAGGTAGAATTGATGTTTGCTGTTTTGATAAGACCGGTACTTTAACAGCTGAAGATTTAGTATTTGAAGGGTTAGCAGGCTTCCACCCAAATGATATTCATCATTTGTATAGCTGTTCTGAAGCTCCTGAAGCCACTTCTTGGGTTTTAGGGTCTGCTCATGCTCTTGTGAAGTTAGATGATGGTGATGTTGTTGGTGATCCAATGGAACAAGCTACTTTAAAAGCAGCACACTGGACTGTTGGTGCTAAGGACTCAGTTGAAAGAACAAAGGAAAATGGCAAGGTCGAAAAAATTAAAATTATGCGTCGTTTCCAATTCTCTTCAGCTTTGAAGAGATCTTCATCGATATCCTCTGTGAACACTTTACAGAATCAATTATTAGTATCTGCTAAAGGTGCACCAGAAACTATTCGCCATATGTTGATCGATGCGCCAGAAAATTATGAAGAAATTTACAAGTCGTTTACAAGATCAGGTTCGCGTGTTTTAGCCTTAGGTTATAAATACTTAGATCAAAGTGTCAAGGTACTTAAAGTTGATAGAAAAGATGTTGAATCCAAGTTACATTTCGCTGGTTTTATTGTTTTCCATTGTCCTTTGAAAGATGATGCCGTCGAAACAATTAAAATGTTGAATGAATCATCCCATCGTTGTATTATGATTACAGGTGATAATCCATTAACTGCTTGCCACGTTGCAAAGGAAGTTCAAATTACTGAAAAGGATGTATTGATTTTAGATGAACCTGAAGAGCATCATAATGTGAAAAGTGAAAATTTAGTCTGGAGAAATATTAATGAAACTGTTATAATTCCATTTGACAGTGCTAATAAAATTGATAGTAAGTTATTTGAGAAATATGATATTTGTGTTACTGGTTATGCTTTAGGTCACTTATCAGAACATGACCAAATCTTGGAATTATTGAAACATACCTGGATTTACGCCAGAGTTTCACCAGCGCAGAAAGAATTTATCTTAACTTCTTACAAAGAAGCTGGTTATAGCACTTTGATGTGTGGTGATGGTACAAATGATGTTGGTGCTTTGAAACAAGCTCATATTGGTGTTGCCTTGTTAAATGGTACTGAAGCTGGTTTGAAAAAGATGGCTGAGAACAGAAGAATTGAAGCCACTCAAAAGGTTTATGAAAAACAGGTTAAGTTACTCGTTAGCTGGGGCAAACCTGCACCACCTGTTCCTCCGTTAATTGCTCATTTATATCCACCGGGACCTCTTAATCCAAAATATTTGGAAGCTATGGAAAAGAAAGGTATTGAAATTACTGATGATATGAAAAAGGCTGTCGAGGCTGCTAACTCGACAGGCGGAACTGGCTCGCAATCGAAAGCAACAAATGATGTATTTGCAGATACAGTCATGAGTGCTATGAATGAAGCTGAAACTGGAGATGAAGTTCCAACATTGAAGTTAGGTGACGCGTCAGTTGCTGCACCATTTACTTCGAAGTTGGCAAACGTTTCTACTGTGACACATATTATTCGTCAAGGTCGTTGTGCATTGGTCTCGACTATTCAAATGTATAAGATTTTGGCTTTGAACTGTTTGATTTCGGCCTACTCGTTGTCAGTTTTATATTTGGCAGGGATTAAGTTCGGTGATGGACAAGCCACTGTTTCAGGTATTTTGCTTTCTGTTTGTTTCTTGTCCATTTCTCGTGGTAAGCCAATTGAAAAGCTTTCGAAGGAAAGACCTCAAAACGGTATCTTCAACACGTACATTATGGGATCTATTTTAGGTCAGTTTGCAGTTCACATTATTACTTTGATTTATATTACCAGGGAAATTTACATTTTAGAACCTAGAGAGCCTCAAGTTGATTTGGAAAAGGAATTCTCACCATCCTTATTGAATACCGGTATGTTTTTGTTACAATTAGCGCAGCAAGTTTCTACCTTTGCTGTCAATTACCAAGGATTGCCATTTAGAGAAAGTATCAAGGATAACAAGGGAATGTATTATGGTTTATTAGGTGTCGCTGCTTTAGCTATTGCCGGTTCAACTGAATTCTTCCCAGAATTAAACGAAGCTATGAAATTCGTTAAAATGGATTCATTATTCAAAGTGAAATTAACAACATGTATCTTGTTGGATTTGGGGGTTACATGGTCTATTGAGTTAACCTTGAAGCACTTCTTTATGAATCACCATGCTGCTGACATTGCAGTCAGAGATTAGTTGTAATTAACGTATAGATTTTTTATTTTTAAATTACAGTGTTATATAAGCTTGTAATAATAAATCGTTCTTCTATTTTAGGGCCATCATATCTTTATTTCTATCTAATTTTATAACCTTAATCGCAGTGACGCCACCCCTTGATAATATTTCTATCTTTTCCGTTCCTAGTTTCTTCTCTAATAAATATACTGTATCCTTAATTTCGTCTTGACTGGTGGGGTAATCAAGACTATCTTCAATTATACTAACAAGTTTAGAAAGAGGGTAACTTTTGTATTGTTGTTTATCCTGACTTCGATGAATGTGGAAAATAATATCATAGATTGGTACTAATTTACTCTGAATGTATGTATGGTACTTCATTTCAGGCGTATCTTTCATCTTTTGTTCATTCTTTAGTTTTTCCTTAAGTCTTATTCTTTCGAGCAAGGAAAGTCCATTATTCTTTTCTTTCTCAGAATTTTCATCCTTTGACCTGAAAACAAACTTGGAAGAATCATTCTTCAAGCCATTCATTAAAGCTGATTTCGAAATCTTTGTAGGAGACGAGGAATTTGATTGTGGCTTATGTATCCTAGATGGTGAAGCTTGCTTTTGCTTCCTAATAATCTGCCCTATTGGAGGATGCGTGATTTCCGAAGAATTTCTGTTTCTGCTTATCCATGTATTAATGTTATTCAATAACTCTTCTTTTCTTAAAGGTATGCATTGATTGAAAGTATTCACTGGTATATTTTCAGGCAATGTGAGTAAATACTCACTATGATCATTGACCTTATTATTATGTTTGATAGCGTATGCATTTGGATATACTTGAAGTATACATAATAGATCTTTATTGGTAATCCTTCTTCCTGTTAATCGAGCAGCCGAATCAAGTATTTTGTTCAAACTTGGGTCAATTGTATGATTTGAATAATGCAAATTTAAATTAGTATCTATAGCTGTAAGAAACTTAACTAGATCTTGAAAGACTTCTTTTCGTATTATGGGATGTTCTTCAATTTTCATAAATCCCTCTTGTTATACATATATATGTATGTATAATACCAATTCTATTTGATGAGCATCAACTTTAGTAACGCGATTGCAGGGTTTTAGAAAAAAAAAATTGGACGAGACAGGAATCGAACCAGTGACCTTCTGCTTGCAAGGCAGACGCGCTACCAACTACGCCACACGCCCCAATTTATATTTTCTTGTTTTTGCTTGCAAAACCTATCCTATTAATTATGTTTATTAGAATTCATACAGATTTTATTTTTATATATACAGATTTATGTAGATTAATCTATTGGCCACCATTCTGGTTTATATACTTTTAATCCCACATGCTTTACACCGCCTTCAATACAAGGTAATTCAATCTTGTATAAGCTAATATTTTCAATGTCTGATAAATTTGCCAAGACAAAACCCAAATTGTCCTGTAAAGAGAGTAGTTTTCCACTCGATGCTGCCCTTCTACGTACTGGCTTAGAGCTACCAAAAGGAGACGAGGATTGTTGTTCAGGCTGTTCTGGCGTGTTTGGCGCTTTCTTTTCAATTAATGGAGTTATCTCTAATTTTGATATAGTGGATGAATGCAAACCTTGCAATTCCTTAATAACAGGATCGCTTGGATCTAAAGTCAAATGCTCATTTTTATCGATTGCAGATAAATTATCATCGTTTATTTGAAAGAATTGGGCTGGTACGATTCTCTTACGAATAATGCCGTTATTGTAGGTTCTAATGGTAAGTTCCTGACCAACATAACATCCTTTCTCCAATGATAAGCCATTGACAAAATCAAGATTCATTTCAAAAGGTAATAAAGAACTTCCTTTTGGGCTATCTTGAGCTTCAAATAAACCATTTAAAAACCGTCTTCTACTTATGGTTTCTGGATTAAGTATATCGGGTACAACAAAATTGTCTTTAAAAGATGGTGAGAATAGGTTTTCTGGGGATATTTGATTGTCACTATCACCTATCTCCTTATCCATTAACACTTTAATCCCAAAGTTTGGAATTCTATTATCTATTGAAAAGCCTAAGATATTTCCGGCGAATTTCGAATTGAACAAACTTTCACTTTTAATGAATGAATTAGCGTCGTTTAATGCATTTACTGGATCCATGGACTGCAAAAATTCTTGCTGAATAAAATCTAAGTATTCGTCAAATTCGGCCGTATCATTGTAGTAATAATATGAATGCATCGATTTAAGTGGGTTGATGCTAACTTTGGCACTGAGTTTATGCAACTTTAATAGCATTTGTAATTGAGAAGCAAATGATGAGTCAATTTCAACTAAATAATTAGGTTCGGCTATCTGACTATCAAAAGTCCCATTTAAGTTATGAAATGGTTGAGAGTAAAGGAAGCAATCTGTTACTACTCTTCCTTTTGATGATAAAAACATAGAATTCAATCCGTCCCTTCTTACAAATATATTGTTGTCTGGATCATATATATCCTCATGCATCAACCCCCAGTTATCATTAATGTTTATTATTTCTGATAATTTAGCATGCCTATTTTCAGCTTCATTTATAGTGTGTTGCTTCTTCTTGACTATATTTGGAAGAAATCTCGATGTCGACAAACCATTCAAAAATTTTGTAGCATCTGGTCCTTTAATCTGCAATATGCTTTTATTCAAAGCACTTATACCTGAAATCGGAATTTTCATTATGCCTTTCTTTAATCAAAGGATATAAATCGTGTAGAATACATTTTGCTTATAAATTTATTTAGAAGATTCGGTTAATGATATTGAACCACACACGCAAAGCTTGCAACCATTGCAACCAATACGGAACCATATAAATAATATGTTATTATAAATGTATGTAATTTATATAATTAACTAAGAAACGTCAGAAATTTTCAATTCTCTTCCTATTAAATTCTTTGGTTTGCTCGATATTTCTGTTGCAGTTTCAGATGAGCCACTCTCCGTGCTACCTGCTGTAGAAGCTGTTGATGAATTATCTTCTTGCAACAGTAACCTATCTCTGATTTCAGCAGATAAATTAAACTTTTGCTTGATATCACTAGGGTTACTATGTATCATTGCAGTCTTGTGTAGGTTTGTTGACGAATGCTGTCTTGAATTTAAGCTCGATAAACTTGGAGGTGTACTGTTCAAGAATGATTCCTCTTTTGATAATTCATCAGACCTCATATCTAAATCACCAAAATTAAAATAGCCATATCCCCCTAAAATATCATAATCTTCTTTGTATTCATCAGACAAGGAACTAGATCTACTAGAACGAGCTTGCGCATTATCCCCATTTCCTTGAATGCTGACATTTTCTATTGGAATAGAAGTTTTCTCCACTGTCAACGCAATAGGATGTTTGGTCAGAGGAAGAGACTTATTAATATGTTTGAGTTCATGTTCAATCCTAAGTCTTTGAAGTTCCTGCTTCCTAGATTCTGAATCGGTTATATTGATCAAAAAATTGGAATTTTGCTTTATAATCGATAAAAATTCCTTCATGACTCCCTTAAACGTATTCAAGAATCTTTCGGTTTGTCTAAACTTTGAGCTAACCGTTATAAGGATTTTATCACCATGAATAACATAGCCAATTCCAAAACCTTGGTCGGCTGCAGGTGGAATGCCAAACATATGTAATGCTGGATTACCACAATTAGAAATCAATAATTCAGGGGATGAAAGCTTCTCAATTGTTGGGTTTGATAGTAAAGGAATCTGAAGGTCCTTGATTTTCAGTATATCTGGAATTGGTGCTAAATCAGGAACATTAGCATTCATTTTATTCAAAGTCGCTACTGCATGAGGTCTCCGCAAAACAGATACGAGTGCATTAAAATGTCTTTCAAAACCTTTACCATTCATAGCACTACGGTATTGCTTAGTGTGCATGTTACAACATTCTCTGAATAAGTCCCACTTCAATGAAGAGTTAGAGTTTGTAATATATAACTTGACCAATCTTGAAATTAGATCGTTTTGAACTGGAATTAATTCCGTCCTCGAATCTCTGAATTTTCTGGTAGTAATAGGCTCTAAAGTATTTGCCATACTTCCATACAAAGCATAGTTTGCAATTTGGAATGCAATTTGCAAAACTGAGTCTATGCTAAGCTCGAATTTGTTTAACAAAAATGTGTTCAATTTAAGAGTCAATGTCTTGTATTCGTGCTGATGTATTAAGTCTGCTAACCTTGTTTCTGATAGTCTTATCAAATTCAAAAGCTCCGGGGTCCTAGTAATCACTATTCTTTGAGATTCTGGTTTCTTGATAGATCCATCTGCAGATACGAATCCAACGTTCTCATCAAATAATGTATACTCCGCTCCGTTGATGTTTTTGGCTAATTTCAAGATAGAGTCAGCATAGATATCACTAATGAATCTCAAAATAGCAGTCCCGTCTGTTGATGACGATTCCCAAACTACACCAGCAACTGAATTTTTAGTCACTACTAATTGTAACTTATCATACCATCTCGAGGTACATGAACCCACTTGCATGTTGGTTCCTTTCAATAACTCTGAAGTACCATGAGCTATCACCGAAGTCTTTTCTTGGTCCGAAACTGGCATATTAGGATCCAATACAACTATAAACAAGGCATTATCAATCTTTTCTAAGTTTTCTTTATTAGATTTATTTAATTCGTTCCTGCTCATCTTCCAAATAGAAAATGATTGGGTAGTTAAAGATCCAACAGAATTGTTTATAGATTCAACTCTATCAATACTATTAGCATTATCAATAATTTCTTGTAACATTATCGATAATTCATAATCACTGAACCAAATTTTATGTTTAGTCCTGGATTGCTTGTAGTCTTCCTCCTTGTATTTAGTCAAAACTTCTAAACAATAGTACTGGTTATTACATATAATAACAATGTGCCTCGAATCATTAATATCTTTAAACTTCTTTATAGTTGCACTCTGATACGTATTCTCATCTTCCGTGTGGGGAACTCTTGTAGTACCAAATAATATGTTGTAACAGTTCATCGATAACGGATTTCCATTTTTTGGTGTCCTATCTGGCTGCAAGGTATCATTCCGAAGACTAGTTATAAATTTCAAAGATGAATTGATCAAATTGGCTGCCCGTTGACTTTGATTAGGAGGATTGACCGTCTTCGCATATGGGTCTTCTTCAAGAATCAAGTACGGGTTTCGAGGAAGAATATCACCTCTTATTTCGCCATAAATACCCGGGCTAGTTCCATTATTCACGCTGTTCAAGTAGCATGTATTTTCAGGATTTATAGAAGCAGCCACTAAGTGACGTTGAATTAAATTAATTACTTCATGACCGAGAAATTCACTGGATTCCTGAAGTAATTCCTTGTACTCATCCTGGCTCAATAATGGTTTCAATGCATTCAATAATTGAGTCGTTGTATTAGTCAACAGTGGAACTGGTAACCTAGGAAGGTCTTCTTCATATTCATATGTGTATGTCATGTTGCTTAATAGATGATACTCGGTTATTTAATGGAAAAATCAGTTACTTATATACGAGCGATTCTATCTCCGAGTATCCCCACACTTTTGTTCCACGCATCATTATAAGTTCATTGCTAAAAGCTTGGATGATTAACCCAACAAGTCTGATCATTTCTTTGTTATATATTTACATATTATTATATTGCATTTTCAGTATGATATGAGTTACATTCACATGTAATACAATGCATGCCGTTTATAAATATACTATCGATGCAGAGAATTTGTAAAAGTAAATAATTATGATTATCTCAAGTCCTGACTACTTAGGTTTTCCTCAAGGGTATTATGATGGATAATGTTCATCGATTATTGTAAGGAAGTATTTAAGTAATACAGTTTGCAGAATCGTAGACTAATATGAATTTTGAGAGATCATGATTTTTATCTTCAGACTTGAACTAACAAGACGGGAAAATAAGAGAAAGGACGAAAAGACAGACTACGATACTAGAAAAGAAACAATATTCCGTATGATATAACCGCCATGGCACTCATTTAATCACCACTTACAAGATCCAACAATACTGAATTGTTGAGGAAGATAAATATATAGGTTGAGTAAATCGATCCTTTAAGATGAAAAGTCAGTTCTACAAGTTAATACACTACAGCAGATAAATGCTCGATCTCTATGAATTAATGCAATATATTCAATAAAAACGCCTCTATAATATGCAAAGAAAACAAAACCCATACCTTAAAACAAAAAGACCTGAAAACAAGAAGTAAAATGCACCTTAATAAACTCAAGCAAAGTTATTTAGGTTGGATAAACTTCTTAATAAAAGTTGCGTTATCCATGAAAGTGTCATCTTGGTGCTGTTCATGTGTAGAATGGGTAGGATTATTTTCCGACTCATTTGCTTCGTCCATTAGAGGCTTAATGCAAAGCCAACCTGTTTCAGTTCTAAAATGTCTAGATAATGCATCTGAACGGGCAAATTTCTTGCCACAACCCCATTTGGTAGTTCCATCTTTAAGAAAGCCTTCACATTTGAAATTCTTTTCTCCAGCATGCAATAATTCATGACGCTTCTTATCGTGCGATCTAGCAAACGTTTTATCGCACACCGAGCACTTGAAAGGCTTTTCGTTCGAGTGTGTTTTCATATGAGATTTTAAATTATATGGTTTCTGGAACACCTTAGAGCATTGGTTACATGGGTAGGATTGATTCACATCAACAATCCTTTGTTTTGATTTTCTTCTTCTTTTTAAGGAAGGCGATATTGTGTAGCTGACTAATGATGAGTAGTCAATAGGTAAATTCTGCTTATCGTCCAATTTCGAATCCAGCCTTAGCGGCGAGTTATGTGGAATCATATCATTGCTGTTAGTCGAAAGCGGACTTACAGGACATCCCCTGGTTTGTTGTGGTGAATGAGACGTGTTCACCATTGGAACATGACCATATTGATATGGATGAAGCATATTTTGTGATGACATCACCGAAGGTTGGTAGTACATGGGGGATATCATCCGTTGCATCTGTTGTACCTGTTGTGAATTAGCTGGATTATGTGTCTGTATCTGGGGCTGTGAGTACTGTTGCAGTATTGGCTGTTGGTGCATTTGCTGCCCCATGACTTGTTGGTTAGAATAGTAATAATCACCACCATTTGATACTACCGATGGCTGGTTCTGATAAGGAACATATATAGAAGGGAGCTTGCTTTGTTCGTAATATTGTCCCATATTTGAAGGTGTTTGGGAAAAACTCGTGCCCGATGGATATATTTCGGAATAGTAGTTCATCATAGGTTGACTGTTCATAATTATATGTGATTAGACCTGATGGTTTATTTGGTTTAGCTTTTTAGTTCATTTGCCATACTTGTAATGGACAAGCTAATAAATCGGGATATTAAAAAATATATATGTCAAAAATTTAAAATTTCGACATCTCGATTTGTCACAGCCACTGCTGCATACATAAGCTAAAAACGCATTGTCTAAATAACAATTAGGTGAACATCCCATATACGAAGAGGAGTAACGCATTTATATATAATTTTTTGCAAATGACATGACGTACCTTTCTATAGCCCGGCAATCCATAATCGTACTGTATTAAATTGTTTATTCTTATAGTTCTAATAAAATACTCCTCGTATTTAAATCCCTCAGTTACTCATGTTTCAGCTTGATAAAACCGATTTTTTAATCAAAAACATATTGCAGTATCTACGTTTGGTATGCTTCTGTAAGTCTACATATCAAGTCTATAATGCTATTAGTTTAATCAAGCTAATGTGTTGTTGGACCGGTGTTTGGAAAAAGGCGCAGAAAAAGCCTTCTGTATATTTACTTTGACAGGTTTGTTGAGATTTAGAATCCCGAGAGGTTTAATACAATGAATCTTTAAACGGACTATCGCTACATCGTACTTCTTCTACATGTATGATACAATAGATATCACTGCCTTTGTTTGTTTACTAGACATTGTTTATGTAAAACGATTCAAACGAAGGTATAATTTTTTCAAAGACCGAGTGACTTAATTATACGGAAGGGCGCAGCATCGGCGGCGATCCGATCGCACCGTATAGTATGATGTTTTGGGAAGGCGATCCCTTACGCTTATAAAATAGCGGAACTTACGAATGAGTGAATTAAGTTAAACAATGTCCTAATGAATAACAATACGTCGCATGGCTGAGCCAATTAAGACTCGTTTTCCAGGACTTTTCAAATGCACTAAGAACCATAAAATTACTAAGCCTGGTGGGATTCGAATGGCTAATTGATTTCTGGAGAAGCTGATGTTGGATGGGCTATCAGATGTTTAAGCCCTGTTTGATTACTTGGCATGGAATACATGTAAATTGATATATGTTGATAATCGATAATGGCTGTAATGGCGACTCCGTTCGCCGGAGAATGAGAGATTAAAAATCCTGATAGAGTAATCCTTACATCGGACCGCTCCGACTACTCGGAATGTTACGGCCGTTACATTAGTCACGATGCAAATGACGTGTAAATGGTAATTGTAAATAAATACTCTAAGATCTGCCGGTCTAGTATAGTGGTCAGTACACATCGTTGTGGCCGATGAAACCCAAGTTCGATTCCTGGGACCGGCATATTTTTTTTTTTA